TATGCTTATTATGGCAATATTTCAAAGAATTAGCCAAATCAAGAGGTGCTTATTGTCTGAATAGAATTAATGCTGAAGAGTCATGAAAAGTAGTTAGAGCAAAATCTCGTTGCTTGCATCGGTCAAAACTTTTGATTTAGTGATCAATGAGAAATCAATTCTATCCGCTTCCTACTTTTCACAAAGTCCTTAAACTCCGTGTCTTTTACTCTAGTTAGTTCTGTAACAGAATTCCTATCACTGAATTTGAAAAGCTATTAGTAATAAAATAAGAAACTATATATTACTTTTAGAACATTTGGAAACTAAATATTAGTGCTGGCCTTCAGTCTGTCCACAATTACATCTTGAAAGGATTATCTCCAGATTTACAAACAAAATACATTATTCCAGCAATATATTTTTGAATCTACCACCTTCAGACGATGAAATTCATATAGTTGATACTTTTAATCAGAACTAATTCATATAACTGAAAAGATATGGTTTCTATCGTTTCTTCAATTTTATAAGCACTTTTGTTTTGAAAACATTACAAATAGCATATAAACACATAAGTTTTTTGTTGTGATGAAGTTTTGAGATAGTTCAACATTAACTCATTGTTATATTTTTGAGAATGAAAAATTTAGTGCTTAGTCATACTCAAACAATCTGAAACGGGTAGTCTTTCTACGAATCATGTTTGAAATATTATTGTTCAAATATGAGTACTCCTTAATCTGGTTAATACAACGCGTTTTTGATATTTCTCAAACAAAAAATTAATCTTACCAGCAAAAAACATACTGCTAATCTTGCTGATATTGCAGTGTTCTATTTCTATTCTCCTATAATGTAGCAACACAATAAATATCAAGAAGAACATAATAATTATATTAAACTCGTTAATTAGCAGATAATTACTCAAGAGACAAAATCAAAAAATAAACACAACCGATTTCTATCTACTGGAACGAAAAAAAATGACACGATGCAATTCCGTGCATGTTACGTTCGATACAGTGTTCGCTTCTCATAAGAACAAGAAACAAGGGCAGGATAATAAGGAAAATGAAAACAATTCACTTGACTTCGGTGGTAAATACTGACTGGTTTGATTGGCATTTATATCGTTGCGTGAGAATAACGTTGGTGCGACTACCGAGAATTTGTTTAACGAAAAAAGGAATGAAGAATATTTAAGCAACTTTTTAACATGAAAGAAATATGACTTGTGACTGTTCAACGTTGCAACAGTGTTCAAGTTGAGATTAGAATTTAATTGTTCAATCGCTTAGCTCAAAATATACATCAAGTAAAAATGGATCGTTTTTAAGCACCACAGGTTTTGAGTATGTCCAAACATATTTATTGTTGCCCTTTAGTTCAAGTTCAATTAACTTTCATTTAATAAATAAGCTAAACTTTCAATTTAGATATTCATATATAAAAACTGAATACATCTGTCTAAGTAACATCCTGTAATATCACAGACGTGAAAATCTTTTGTCAATAAGTTGTTGTTGTTTAAGAATTCTTATAATTAGACCTTTTATAACATTTTTGGTAGCACATTATACTGACTAATTTCGTTTTCTTTTTCAAAAGTCGAAAACGTTTTTTCATAATACTTCAAAATACAAGACTAGTTATGACACAGTCGGATTTTCAATCGAAGTTCGCAATTATTTCGTTGATTTAATTCCTGAATTGATGGGTTCGACTTTGAAGTATACTGTTTCGAAATACCTATGCAAATGAAATCTCTCTAGCAAAAGTCTATGAAAACAAAATGAAAACAACTTCAAATTCCTCGCAAACTTAATTTGATCATGCACAGAATGATGAAATAATTTACAGTTTTGGCATGTTCATTTTCTCTTCGTTTTCTCATTTTATGAAAGAATCTGCTAAAATTAGTTTTTTTATTTACATAAAAATCTAGAGGTCACCAAAGAAAACTGCTCTAACTGGAACTCTATCAAAAAACTAAGCATTTACCATAATAGTGCCATTCGATCTAAAATAAGTTTGAAAAAAACACGATGAAGTGCGAAGAGTGATCGAAACCTGTGAAAGTATGTTTATTGTTCGCTCTGTTCCAATGTTGAGGTTCTTGGCATCTGCATAACTACGAGAAATAGTGTATATACAGTATGCGAGAGGTTGTATTCATAATGGATATCACTTATTTAGACCAATGCCATGCTTGTATCAGCCAGTTTTAATTCCAAAAACTAACTTCCACAAAACTCCTCGATTCACACAAATTCTTTTTCTTACGGAAATACATTCAGATCACTGGGAAGGTAGAATAGTTGTTGATATGGAAAGATGAACACGTGCAATACCTAGTTTTGTCGGTAGGAAAAGTGTATACATTTGTCAAGTTCGTTATTATAATCATTACGGATTTAAGGATTTTTTTTAGATATTTGTTGGAGAAAATTTCATAGATAGAAAACTTTTGAGCTAGTTATAATCTATAAGCATCTATAGCTTTGTTTGTTTTTCTTACCAAACATGTAGAATTTTTTATAGAACGATTAATTAAAATATATTTGCAAGGCAATTTAGTGCAAAAAGAATTGACATCGCTCACGATTGATCCAGGCTAGTCTTTGTAGGTAAAATCAGTGAAGAAAAAGAAACACTCTCTATCCACTCTCACAACAATAACATATATGTAAAAATAGTAGAGTCACTACGTTGATTGTTGCAATAATTCTTTCTTCTTAAACATCAGACGAGTCAATTTTTTATTCATTCGCATCTCTACTTCGATTTATTCATAGCTGAATTAACTATCTTTTCTATAATTATTGATGCTTACCGCATGAGAGAACTTTCTTTCTGTAAGAAATATAGATTTTTTTTATAAGGAAAAGAGCTATCTCGATCAGTTTTGAGATAAATTTCATTTTCACAAAAATTGACTCATAAGATTATGTTAATTAATATTTCTAAAGAAATATCTATGCAGTTCTTTAAAGAATATTAGATGACTCTCTATTAATAATACTTACCATAGCAACATTTCTTGGTCATAAAATGTTTCAGAACAAATCTAGATTCATATCCATTGTACTGGTTCAGATCAAAATATTGAATTCATTTAACTCACATACCTTTTTACCAGAAAGCATACATAGATCCTTCTTTGAAAGATAGTGTTATTCGTGGTAAGTGGAGGATGTGTGTAACGTTCACTATCACAACGAAACTAAAAGCTAGATTCAAACTAAGGTTATTATCAATATTCATTGTGTTTTTCTCGGTATCGCTTTCAGGATTAAATTATCTTCATTAGAGCGACATACTAATAACTAGTGTTGAAAAAGAGACTAACTAAGTGTATTACATACTGTATTCTAGAATATTACTTATGAAAATTCTATTTTATATATGCTGCTTACGCCAACGAATGATCCGATCTAACGTATTTTTCCTAATATACACAAATACTGCCCATGGCTTATTTCAAAACAATTCCATATTTCTATGTTATCAGGAAGCAGAACAACTCAAGTAATATTTTTACACACAAAAGTAGTTATAAAGAAAATTTTCATAAATAATATGTAACTGATAACCTATTTTTCTAATCAGAGTTTTAGAGGTATCTATATTAACTCATTTGTATGTTATTGCTAACTATACTTTATCGATTCAAATATGTAAGAGAGAAAATGGTGTCATGCAATGTGAACACGTAATATATTAATATCTGCTTCATTAATCGATCTAATGGCAATGACATTGAAAAAGAATGCCATATTTTACATAGTTTTTTTCACTTAAAAAGAAATTCAACTATGAATGATTAATATCAATATATAGTCCATATTCTTAATTGAATAATTGAGCCATATCTATAGGCAGCCTGAAACATTAAAATCAAGTGACATTCACTAGAATAACAATGCACGTTGATTGTCAACGAGTTTCATACTCTTTTTCTTTCTCTTACATGATTGATGACAATAGAATCAATCTCGTTCTGCCGTTCGATTAGATGCTTACGAAAAATAATTTTGTTCTTTTGTAAGAAAAAGTTAATCGATAATTGATGAAAGCATTTGCTCAACAGCGGATCTATTGTTATGCATTGTCATTGTTAAAATATGAATGAGAAAAAGTTGAAACTGTCCTTTTATTTATGGCATGTGTTTTTAATGTCTAGTTCTTTGTGCTCTTCGTGTCTTTTCTTTGAGGAATTCACTTCTCTTATGTATGAGTTGTATGTTTGACCCAGCTGTATACAGTGTAAAAAGAAAACGAAGGAAGAAAAGACAAAAAAATTCATCTGATGCTTCAGTTAATCTATGTTTAGGATGCTGAATAGGAGTCAAAATTAAAGGATACTTGGGTAAATATTGTTAATAGAAGAGCATGTTATGCAATCGCTAATAAAAGGCAAATCAAACAAAGAATACTTTATTTATTATAATTGAGTGTAATGAATATTCGTTATAATGAATACTTATGAACTTAGCGGGCGAGCATTTTATATTCTTAATGTATATGTGAAAAATTGATGATAGTGATTGGACTAGTGAAGCAGTCGCTCTTTTTTTTCTCTATCTTCTCTGTTCTAATGTAAAACTAATAATAGGGTAAGATTTATTTTTATACATGATGTGATCGAAACAGAACATTTTTTGCTGCTCTTTTCCTCAACACGCAGAAGGATAAATAATAAGAACACTTTCTTTCTTTATTTCGTTCGTAATGAATCACACTAAGTTGAACGATGTCTTCCAAGCTTCCGTGGACTTCATGACAGATTAGCACACATTGTATACACATAAAACATGCATATATGCATGCACGTAGGGAAAGAAAATGTTGAGAAATATAAAAAACCATGCAAGGATAGGAAATGCAATCATTTTTACATGAAAAATGATTACAGGCTTCGTAGTTCTTTTCGTAGTGAACAAACAACCCACAAAAGAAAAAAGATCATTTACTCAATCAATACCTCGATACACATGTTTTTCTTCTTTTCTATTTAGATGCCTTTTAAAGTGCGCGTCTCCAAATATCGTCATGTATTTGGTTCACCTTATCGTGAACAAGAATGCTATAAAAATATTTCTATAACAAAAAATGCACATGATGGAAGTTTTTGTGCTGTTAATTCAAAATTTTTAGCAGTTGTAACTGAAACCTCTGGCGGTGGAAGTTTTCTGGTTGTACTCTTATCTGAGGTTTGTTCATTTCTTTTATTAAACTTTTTCATTGAAGCATTTCATTTAGGTCGGTCGTATCGATGCTAGTCATCCTCGTATAACAGGACATCGAGGACCTGTTGTTGATCTTAAATTTAATCCGTTTAATGAAAATGAAATTGCATCCTGTTCAGATGATGGAACAGTTAAAATTTGGCATTTGCCAAACGATGGCTTAAAAATTGATACATGCCAATGGAAAATTGATTTACATGGTCATCAACGACGGGTAGATTATATTGAGTGGCATCCAACAGCAGAAAATCTAATATTGAGTGCTGGTCTTGATTATCAAGTGATTTTGTGGAATGTAGAAAAAGCCGAACCCATACAAATCTATCGTTGTCATCCGAATGCAATACAATCAATTACATGGCATAGAAATGGTTCATTATTTGCAACAACTTGTAAAGATAAATGCATACGTGTTATTGAAGCTCGTTCTGGTCGCATTATTGCTGTAAAATAATAATTTGATTCATTTCTAATAAGAAATTTATTTGCTTATTATAGAGAGAAATTGGCCATCAAGGTCCTAAGACATCAAAAGTTGTTTTTTTAGGTGATACAAATCGTCTCTTATCAACTGGTTTTGGAAAGCAATATGAAAGACAAGTAGCAATTTGGAATGCTGTACGACTTCTGTTTTTAGAATTAATTGAAAAATATTTAATAGGCAAATTTCTCTAGAATGATTTATCGAATCCATTAATAATGGAAACAGTCGATTTCAGTGCCGGCATTCTTGTTCCATTCTATGATCATGATACACGAATAATTTATTTAGCTGGAAAAGTAAGAAAAAAAATATCGAACTTTAAAAAAAACTATGAATGTAGGGCGATGGAAATATTCGATACTATGAATTGACTGATCAATGTGAGCCTTATTTATATTTTCTATCAGAATATAAATCATCTTCACCACAACGATGTCTTGGTAAAATTAATATATATATATATATAACGTTTTTCATGATCTTCAATCGTTTCTATTTAAAGGTGTAATGCCAAAGATTGGTCTTGATGTAACACGAAATGAGATTATGCGCTTTTATAAATTGTTTGCCATTGGATCTATTTGTGAACCTATATCAATGATTGGTTTGTATTGCGACAAATTTGTTTTATTTATCAGGAGGAGATTACTCTTAATGATCATTCGTTTGTAAGATAAGAAATAGTTCATTGTTTACAGATATTTAGACAGTTCTGTCTCCATCAGTTTACTATTATTTAGTTTAATCAATGATGGAATCGTTTGTGTTTTGTTTTTGAGCTACACTGATTCAAGCTCGAAGTCGATGACGAAACTCAAGCATATCTTCTGTACTTAGCCTACTTTTTCTTTAGCTGCTGTTGATAGAAAGTAGTTTTGTACGCAGTTTAATGCAGGATCTTTTGCAATAAAGATTATTCTACTACATCTATCGTAAGATAAAACTAGGAATTAATAATTAGTTAGTAATAGTTTTCAACTTGCAGGTATTTTCTAACAGATCGCATTCAAAATGGGACACTCTTTCTTTTATTGTTATTATTTCAAAATAGTTCATTACTATTCGAAGTGTAAAATATAATTATAGAACTTGAAATTTGTAAAAGCGAACATGTTTCAAAGGACAGAACGTTCTATTTCGACTGATATAATTTTATCATCGATAAAGTAACCTTTTGAAATCTAACAATCCATTCAAATTACGAATTATAAAATCATCGAATAAGGAGTAGAACTTGTAAATTATGCAAATCATTTCGTTAAATTGAGAGCTATTTAAGACTTGCATGCAGAAAATTCATCAACGAATCATAATTAACCACTCCAATGAAAAAGTGTTACCATTCAGAAAACGTTGGTTCTATTACAAAATCTAAGCTCCATTTTTATTTTTTTTTGCCGTTAAATGTTCGGACGTTGCGAACAAAACCAAATTTTATTAGTTTTGTAAGAATTACCATTAAGCAACAATTAATCCATATTTTTCTTACACGCGAGAGTGCTTTATACCAACATGTAGACTAAAAAATTCGGTGTTGGGTGATATGAAAAATTTCTTTTACTTCTTTTCAGTTGATAAAAACGAATGTATGCCACAGTTTTGAACTGAAGAAAATATTTTTGTTTCATAAAAGAAAGAATACATGTCATTATTCGGATTTCTGCATGAGTTATCTTTATATAAACGTAAAAACCAAAAAAGTGTACATAACCTTTATATTCCATTCTAATAGACTAGTGAACAATTGATTAGAATGTCGGATTCAAATCAGAGAGTATCGGAACCTTTTTTGATCGAACTAATCCCATCTCGGAGTTCAATGTTAATGATTGTGTCAAGAAAAATTGCGATATAATAAATAATCAATTCTTATGTTTCATAAACGTTTTCGATATTCTGTAGTTCACTTATTTCACGAAGTAATACAGGGAGTGTTCAATATTATTTTTCTAGATTCAAACGATTACGCAAAAACATTTTGAATTTCATTTTTTCGTTCAAAATAGCAAATTTAACATTTCGGACATTTTTCATAATAAGATCGATGGTTGTTTTAAATTTTAGTTCCAAGAAAATCAGAATCTTTTCAAAATGATATTTATCCAGAAACACCTGGCCCATATCCAGCATTGTCACCTGACGAATGGATATCTGGTCTTGATCGTGAACCAATACTTGTCTCTTTGAAAGATCGTATAGAAAATACAAATATGCCAAAAATCACAACATACCGAACATTTGATTCCGTATCTATATTTTCAAATCGTGGAATATCCCAAAGAATAACTCAATTGCCTATAGCAGAAGTTACACCTACACCAAAATCGAATACCAATGATCAAGTAACATCTTTATCCGTATCAATCGAACAAATCTCTGATGACATGAAACAACAAACAAATCAGAAAAGTTTAAGAAAAATTGCGTCATTGAGAATGTCAGCAACAAGTACTGAATTCAATCAGATTAGGTAACTATCAAATATTGTTGATTCGATTTGAGATTTTCATTTTATTAAAATGACTTCAATTATTGTTATCGAAGAATATCTTCAAAGAGCACAGCTTTTTTCGAGTCCATAAGATGATTATGAGTATGTTCATATAGGATTAAGCAAGATTTGTTAACAATATTAGGGATCATAGTCTATAGGTAAAGAGCTATGGTATCTTTTAGTAACATTTTCAACACTGTAATGATCATGAACCGTAGAAACGAAAGCGACTGAAGATTGGAAATTCTCCATTGGTAAGTTATGAGTTAGAATCCTGGTAAGCTTTTCCTAATCTCAAACAGACCTAATCGTAGTCATGGTATGGAATTGAACGGTATTTAACAGATGATTATCTTCTTTCATTTTCTTTTCTGCTGGAAATTTTATTCATTGAAAAGCAAATCTATTCTCTTTGCTGCTTTATGAGTTTGATGTAAAATTATAAGATCTAAAAAATCTTGCGTCTCTCTTACACTTTCAGTCTTGAATGCTCATTCTTTATATAGATCTATTCCATTATTTAATGCATTTAACCGATACTCAGTGTAAACATAAACGGTTTGAATAGTATAAAACTATAATCAGTTCTCATTATTGTTTCATCAATTGTTCTGATTAACTATATTATCTCAACACCAAACTATTTGAAATTTGTGCATAACTTGAGTGTGAAATAACGTTTCATCTTGATATGGACAACCCGATTTATCATATAAATCCAAGGAGTTTCTATTTCTTTCAGAGATAAATTTCAAACTGAAACACAAAATACACAGCCGTCAATCAACCATAATTTTGAAATAAAGAAAAAAGTTTGGAGTTTTGATATAAATGAACCGTATACATCTATGCATCAACCACAAGTGAATGGCATTGATGTAAGTAAAAAAAACAGATTCTTTTCGTTTTTGATTGAATAAAATTTCTCGTTTTGCTTTAAGTATTGTCAAGAATATCTTAAACTACAAGAAGAAATTCAATCGTTAAATGAAATTATATTATTAAAAGATAATCGTATTCGTTTACTTGAAGATGAATTAAATGTATTAAAAATTCTACCAGAAGATCAAGATAATAAACTAAGTGTATGATTACGTATTTATATTATAGTCATTTTATTATTATTGTAGTCTATGTATAAGAAAAAACATTTGTATTAATAAAAAATGATAATTATTAGTTATTTTTACGATTCAATATTTCGAGAGGTTACAAAATTCAGATTTCACAAAGCGTCTTGTTACTAGAAATCAGATAAAAGGCGCTCAATGATCGTTGAAGCCGATGCAAGTCTATGAATAATCAAATGACTATATAGTAAATGATGACTATAATATATTAAAAGAAAGTAAAAAATATCGATTGCAGTAAGTTAGTTCGCATCATACTTATTACTTTCGTTCTTACTTAACAGAAATCGTACTTGTTTAGAACAAATCGATCATCTCTATGGCCGCAGAAGAAAAGAAAAATAATTTTTCATTTTTTTTTCTGTATTGTAAAGGATTCTTCATCGTTTGATATTGCTTTATCATAAAGATTTATTTTAAACTTATCACCCGATAAAATATCAATAAAAAAGAATTCATTTTATTCAACGAAAATTTCACATGCAGATCTATCTAAGAAGTTTACGAAAGATATTTTTCAAAGTACTGTTAATTTCAAAACAATGTTTGCTACTGAATATCACCAATATAATTAAGACAGTAATTTAACAATTTGTTCGGGCGTATGTGGCATTATAGAGTACGGATTTGCATAACTATTTTTTGAATCCATTATAGCAGAATACAGACTGGCATAAGCTGCACATATTAATTCGACTGAACGTTTTTTTATTTTTTCCCTAAAATAAAATAAGGAAAAACATTTTCAAAACAAAAAAAGCCATTCACGTTTACTAACCTACTAACAGCACTTGTGAGATACTTCAATTGTGGCATTATATAGAGATCTGGTGATGCCAAATAAGAATCAAATTTAATCTGAACAAATTTTCATAAGCTATTTCAAGATAAAAATTATTTCAAACTTACCATAGCCGCTTTTAATGTCACAGTATCCATACCTGGTTTCAGTGCTAATGCATTTGAGTTAGCATTTGACTCTTGTTGTTGCTTTTCAACGATGCGATAAGCATCTAATAAATCAGTTCGTAAAAGTATATATGTTGCTTGTTCACCTATCAATGTATCTGTATTTGCATCAATCTAGAAAAAGCATTAAATACAATGCAAAAAGAAAACTATGTTGGCTGTGTTAGATCATACCTGTCCTTCAAGCATTTCAATTTTTTCATCAGTAAATGCAAACACTGCTAAAGTTGTTCGTATTGCACTAACACAATTAACTAAATAAACAGCCATTTCAATAACACCTAATTTAGCAGCTGATAATGAACACATTTGAAGTAAAGGATCAACAATTGAATAAACAATTTGTTGAAAGTCAGTACGTTTTGATTCAAATGGTATCATTGATGTTGAATGTGTTTCAAGTATATCACGTAATAATGCTAATGTACGACGTAATTCATCAGATAGATTCAAATCATTTGTTGGCATATCAACTTTTTCAATTAGACGTGTTGCCGTTGCATTCAAACTGACAAAGAAAAAGAAACAATAAAATTAACGTCTTACTGTTTTAAAATTTATTTACGCATTCAAGAACATTTTTGACGATAAATTACTAACTTCATCGAGTACAAGTACTAATTGACAATCGACTGGTAATAATTGTTTGATAGTTGTTTCGTAAAATTTGAGTAAGTTTGTTAACTTATAGAGAGTGACAGGTTCATGTTGAGAGACAAGAACCTGTTCGAGACGAACCCGTAATGGTCTACAATTGAATTAATGCAAAAAGAAAAAGCATAAAAGAAAAGAAAATATACTACTAACCGACAAAGTCCTTCAGTAATATAACCTAACAATGTTTGAATAGTTTTTTGTAATTCATTCCAGTCTTTTAATTTTCGCAACAAAATTTCAGCGTATTCTCTTTCGGATGCTGTTGATTGATGTGTCCAGGCAAGCATATCGCCCACATAACGTAAAGGATCATGAGACGATAGTTCTATAGGACGTGGCATACCACCTGGACCGCCACGAGTTAATGCATCAATAAAACCACGAACAAGTGCATTGCGTCGAGCAGTACCGTACTCATCAAGAACGTATCTACAAAAATTTATATACGATTGTTTTATCAAAATAAAAATTCGTAGTTTAAGAAGTTCAGTTAACATTTAAACAAGGACGATATATTTGTATTTTCTCAAGAGAGTTGTCCTAAGCGAAATGTTTCTTTTAGAAAATATAATCCTTTTTTAGTATTTTTTATCACATAATAATTTCATCGAATTCAATCTTATAGACTATGGAAGTCTAAAAAGTAAGAAAACAAAATGAAATCTTTCCTGCTATTTTATGAGAGATCAGTCAGCCTGCTGAGTTAGCTAACATTTTTCAATTTCTATTTATTATTTCTTTCACTACTTACTTAAAAAGAACTTGTCTTTCTTTTAATCCGTCGAGTGCTTCGCTAACTAATTTTGATATTTCTGGTGATTCTGCTGTTAAAAGTCGACATTCACCTAGTTAACGGGAAGTGAAACAAAAATAATTTTAATCAAGACACAGATGAAAACAATGGCAACTTTATTTTACTTTGTAACCATCGATATAATCTTTCGTAAGCTGATTCTTGATGAAGTGCCATTTGTTCCATTATTTCCAAACCAATTGTTTGTTGATTCGTACGCAATAATAATTTACAGTCTTGATAGATCGATTTAACACGTTTAAGAACATTGAAAAATTCCTGTAAAAAAAAAGAAAGCAGCTTTGCAGAATAAAATATTAATAAAGCAATCGCACTGGAACATAATTCAATATGTAGGAAGGACCTTTTTTTGTCTTCAAAATTGTTTAGTCTATTAATGGTTCTACAAAATGAATGAATTTAAGAAGTTATATATCAGATTAGAAATCTCTGTCTTGTAAAACAAAGACCATCTGATTCTATTCTTGTGTCTCAACTCGTTTAGGTGAGCGCGATTGTCGACGGGAAGGAAGTAAGCTGGAGATTTTACCTTTTCAAAATCCGTCAGTTTTCTCAGAATACAGATCGTAGTATTCATTCAATTTTCAGTTGAGAAAAATAAATTTTAATTCTTTTTACCGGATGTAAAAATCCATCACGAGTTGTTCTTAATGCATTCAATTCATTAGGTGTCAGTTGAAATCGTTCAATAAATCCTTCGGTTATAGAAGATTTCATATTTAATTCTTGACTAATAAATAAAATTAAAATTAAAATTTCGAATGAAAAATTTATTTACTTTTCATTTTGTATTTGTGTTGTCTTATTGATTAATTCTTGTGTTTGTGCTTTAACATTCTAATATAGAGAACATGTCTTTAGTAAAGAATAAACGATGTTAATATTTTTTTTTTGTATTTTCCATACTTTTAATCGTTGTGTCATATCTTCACAACAAGTTGACATGGATGTAACCGTATCATTTACTTGATCGAGTTGTTGTTTCACAACACGAAAACATTCTTCAAATTGATCGTTTAATGTTAAACTTCTTTTTTCAATAGTACTTCTTAATGAACGTCTTGTTCTGACACTATTTTCATTGAAAAAAGTCGATAAATATTTCAAAGATTCGATTAAATCTTTATCCGATTCTAATTTTAAATCAAGAATTTTCTGCAATTTACGTTGTACAGGTGTTACTTGCTGTTGTGATGTTGATGGCGACGAACTTGGATTTACCTCAGTACTCATGCTAAAAAAAAGCGAAAACAAAAAAACGTCATATGAATCGAAATAATATCTTTCTTTTATATTTCGAGAACAAAAAAACACTTTTTATAATACAACATAAAGAAAAATTATCAAGATGACCCAGCTAGATATGATGATGTTGGCCGTGGTTTTAATATTAGCCGACCATCAAAATCGCATGACATATTATAATCAGCGAGTATGTAACGAAATCTGGCAATAATTATTGATGATGAGAACATTTTACGATGTATACCAAATAAAAATGCAAATACAAGCAAGGCCAATGAAACAGAAAAATAAGTTTGTTTACAAAAAACATTTGAATGCAATAAAGATAGAAAAGAATTATCACTAGATGTATTGACTGTTGCTGATTTTGTTGATGAATCATCGGTAATTAATGCATAAAATGTTACAAGAGTGACTAAGACAAGAATTAGTAATATAACACGCCAACGCCATATTGATGGTTGCAGTGAAGAAACTATTTCGATCATACGACGTTCAAATGCTTTTAAATCATCGGCTTGATCCATAGGTTTTTTTTCAATAGAGAAAGACTAAAAGAACAAATATAATAACTAAAGAACTTCAATATATGTAAAAAGAAATCGTGCCTGATGTTGAGTGTTTCGTTGAATGATTAAGTACAACTAAAGAAATCCAATAGATTGATACATCTACAAAAATTAAGTAAGTCTATAAATGAAAAATTTCCAACCGTGGAATCATCTGCAGTCATTCAACAACAATAGTCTGAGAGTTCCTTTGCAAATCGATGTTATTTTTCCTTTTAACTTTTAATCCATAAAAAGAAAAAAGTACCAGAAAATGATAGCATAACTTTGAAAAAGAGAAGTGAAGCACAAATATACATAATAAGAAATCAAGTAAATGAAAAAAAACTCTTTTTCAATTCCAATCATTTATTTCTTCTTGGGTCCAGTACTAAGCGGTTGTCCGATATCTTTTCCTCGTAATTTAACACCTAAAGCCCGTTCCATTTTACTTAAAACCTGTTGATTTGGAATCGCCTTTGATTGTTCATATTCATTAACAACTTGTTGTTTTTCATTAATATGTCTTGCTAAATCAGCTTGTGTCCATTCTTTAGCAATACGAGCCTGTTGCATAACCCGAGCAACATCTTTATCAACTCTTTCATGATGTAACTCCTCTGTTTCGCGATCTAAAATTGCCGTATTTTTAGCCGCTTCATGTTGTTTATTATTGCCAGCTGCATATTTTTTTGAAGTATCAATCGCAATACCAGCACGTTGAGCAGCAGCTATTGCTGATTCACTTTTCAATTCACCAGGCCGAGGTGCACGTTTGCCAATAACGGTTTGTTCATCCCAGCCAACTGTACCTCCGAAATTGGCACCTGCCTTACTCATTCTTTTGTTGTTCGATAGCAATCAAAAAATCTAGAAATAAAATGCGCATACATGTGAGAGACGCATTCATGATCGTGACCCTGAACAGAATGCATTACATTGTGTTTGAGAAAGTGAATTATTATATGACGATATAAACTATCGAAGGACATTGGACGAATCTATGGCGGATATAGTAAATTATTATTAATGGAAAAGTTTCAAAAAAGAAAAAAAAAGAAATTAATTTCTAATACATATAAAAAAATGATTTTACTTTCATTTTAATTATTTTATATAGATGTCATTCGCGTACAATTATATATTTGTTCTCCTTATTGAATGGTTGATCTAAGTGCAAAATTGTATTACATTACTACTAGCTATTACTTAGCTTAGTTTACGAATCAATAGAATAAAAATTCAAATGAACCCATTTGATATCTCTTCTATAAGGACTATTAAATAAAATTCAATAACTATTTTTAGTCTTTTTCTGTGTTTCTCTTTGTAAAGAAAATTTCTTATTCTCATTCGTTTTTATTGCAGCTCTAATTTGTTATTACGACAGTCTTAACAATTTGAATATGCAGACTATTTTTGTATACGAACGATGTTTAATTAAAACTGACATATTTTTTTTCTACTCTATATTGTACGATAAAGATGTTTTGTTAAAATAATTCATTCTTCACTTTTCAATATCTACAGATATCGTTTGTTGCGTTTTCTTACTAAATATCTATTCCTAGAACGTTTTTTCTGCATAGAAATTAGTCGATAAATCATGTAAGAGTTTATTTTTACATATTTTAGAGTTATTCAATATAATTTTCTATTGTATGTATCGTCATAGTAAAACTGTGTTTTTGACTTTATTCCCAAAAACTAGCAATTTCGATCTACGGAGATAAATCTATAAAAGAAAAACCTAACTTTCAAAATAGACTTTTCTTTTGCCTTGAAAATTATTTCTTTTCTATCGAACATCAGTCTTGATCATCTTGCAGTATTTCCGTATCAGTAGCAAAACAGTCAGAACTATTTTCAGAGTATTCATAGATGATTAAAAATCGATATAATATTTTTGATTCCTATGTAAAGCTTCGAATACATATTTATTAAATGATCTACATAACAAATTGTATAGAATATAATTCGTAATTGAAATATTTTTCTCATATTCTCTATAATTAGTTTTAGTGATATTTGCAAGGAACCATTGAAGTTACTCATTGATTGAATAAATACTTCATGTTTCAACATGAAAATTACTTTTAATTAGCTAAAAACTTTCTATGTTGTAAATTTTTAGATAAACATGGGAAAAAAAGCTAAAACAGGAAAACTTCGTCGAGATAAATTTTATCATTTAGCTAAAGAATCTGGTATATAATCATTGAATTTTTTAATAAAATTAATTTTAATATACAAAAATTGAATAGGTTTTCGATCTCGTGCTGCATTCAAATTGCTGCAGTTAAATCGTGAACATCGAATTCTTGAAAATGCTCGTGTTCTTATTGATCTCTGTGCAGCGCCTGGTGGTTGGCTACAAGTTGCTGAAAAACACATGCCAGTATCAAGTTTAATTATCGGTAAAATTCTTCAGAAAAGGAAAACAGAAATCATATTTTTCTATGCTATTGCCATTTGTTTTTTCAGGTGTTGATTTAGCACCAATAAAACCGATTCCACATACAATAACTTATCAAGAAGATATCACATCTGAAAAATGCCGACAAGTAAATAAAATTAAAATCGTTCTATCTAATAATTTATTTTGCTCGTTTTTAGCTTTTAAAAAAAGACTTAGGAACATTTAAAGCTGATGTCATTCTTCATGATGGTGCACCTAATGTTGGCAAAAGTTGGATTCATGATGCTTATCAACAAAGTATAAATTTTATTTGTTTTTACTTATTGAAATCTAAGAAATTACTATTTTATTTGTAGATGTCTTAACATTGAATGCACTCAAATTAGCAACGGAATTTTTACGTAAAGGTGGCATATTTGTTACTAAACTATTTCGTTCCAAAGATTATTATTCATTATTATGGGTTTTCCAACAAATGTTTAAACGTGTTGATTCAACTAAACCTCAGGTTTAAAATAATCTTTGTTTTTAATTGTAATTCTTTTTAGTTGATTCTATTTTAATGAATAGGCTTCACGTAATGAATCAGCTGAAATTTTCGTTATTTGTCATGGTTATTTAGCACCAGACAAAATTGATCCAAAATTTCTCGATTATAAACATGTATTTACTGAAATCGATAATGATATAACTGATGTACAAACTAAAGCTAAACAACGATTAAAACATCCGGAAAAATTCATTCGGTTTGTTTTATTGTTCATTTTTTTAGGTGAAATTAAAATCAAATCAAATTTATATTTTTTTATTTCAGAAGCCGAGAAGGTTATCCAGAAGGAGATTATACTTTATATCATAAATTGGAAGCAACGAAATTTATTCAAACTGAAAATTTTCTTGAATTATTAGCTATGGCTAATGAAGTAAGACATAGTCATATTATTTCATTGAGAAATTCACTTTTATTATAATAAAATAGGACTTGAGAGGAACATTGAAGGATCCAAAGTATATATATTACCAGCGCTCATAGATGTGATAATCATATATTAATTAAGTCGTCTTAGAAATAGAAGAGCAAACTGCTTTATTACAGTTTTGAAGCACTATATAGAAGGATAGTGAAGAATTGTGTGTGAGCAAAAGACTACATAAAATAATTACTATGCAACTGACAACAATAATAGCTACATTTTGTTTCATATTTTAATCTAGCAGGTATACCAGTAAGAAGTTTTCTTTCTATTTAGATTACTATTGATGATGAACGAATACTTGAACATCCACAAACAACAGCTGAAATCAAAGAATGTATTAAAGATATTAAAGTACTTGGTCGACGAGAAATAACGTTCGTTGATTTATGAAATATCCATATGAAAATAATTGTTGTTTCTCTTTAGTTTGATTCTTGCTTGGCGTCGTCATTTAGCTGCATCACTTTTTAAAAAAGCTCTTCCTATTGTTGAACAACAGCCTGATGAAACAAAAAAAGTTGAAACAACAGAAAACGACCGAGAAGGTGAAAAGGATGACGAAGAAGACGATATGGATAAAGATATTGAAGAACAATTACTTAAACTTAGTGAACAGCAGCGAAAAGAAGCTAAAAGGTGTGTTAAATTTCGAATGTTTATTTAAAATTAAAATTAAAATTCATAAAACTTTTCTAGAAAACGTAAACATATAATGAAAGAAAAACGAAAATTACGTGATCGTCTTGCACTTAAAATGGTATTACCTGGTGATATTCATGATCATGAAACAGCTGAGGGTGGAAAGAATGATCAAGGATTATTCGATCTTGAAAAAATCAAAACAAGAAAAGTTAGTTTGTTTTGTAAATTGCACAACAAAAATATTTCAACACGATATATTATCTCGTTTTAGCAATTACTTGAAATTTCATCTGCTATACCTGATATGGATTTGGGTATTGATCAAGTTGTTCGTGATGATGATGATGTTTATCTTGGTCAAGATAAAAATCGAATACCTCGAGTTGCTTATGATAAAGATAAAAATAATGGTGATTTATCGTCCATTGATATTTATAAGCAATATCTGGAAGATGATGATGAAAATGACGAAGATGAGCTAATGCCTTATGATTCTGAACATCGTCAAGTGAAACTCGATAGGTAAATTAAATTGAAAGTCAAGATTACCATCTAATGACCTTTTAGTTAAATTTAAGAGGTGATCTCATGGTCCTCATAGGAAATCTTATTTTGAGGACTAGTTGAAACAGTTTGTAGTTCATACAAGGGAAGTTTTCATTAAAAAGTCTTTGTCATACTAGTAAAATACTTTAAAATCCTAGTGTTCATGAGTCTACAAAGCGAACGCATGACAGTTTTTACTGAGAAATGACAATAATAGAATTTGACACCTAAATCGGTCGAATAACCTATGCTGACTACGAATCTTTGTAAGTCTTTTCTAATTTTAACAAGTCCAACTTAGAGATCAAATATGAATTGAACAGTAGATTACTGTTGAGCTAGTTCTGCCGTAAACGCTACGAAATGTACCAACTATTGATCAAAATCATCTACATCAGTGAGAGAAAAAAGTTTTTTAACTTTATAAACTTTATAGAAAAAAATTATAAAGACAACATGATCTAATTTTAGTGATGTCGATGACAATGAGTCTGACAACGACGATTATAACAATGATGAATGGGAAGACGATGAAGAGAATCCACTTGATATGGATATTATTGATGCTTCAACCAAATCAGCTAAAGCAAAAACAGTGGCTGATGTTTGGTTTGAACAAGATATATTCAAACAAACATTACAAGAAGATAATGATGATGAAGAATTTGAACTTGAACGGAAATTGAGTGCACTTCATTCAGATGGAGTACCTGTTCTTGGTAAAACAACATCGCAGCACATTTTTCATCCGATTTTTCTGCTTTCCAAATTTATTCCTATTCTTGAGTTTTTCTTTCGTCTACTAGACCGTGATCATCCTTTTCCTTTTATCAGGAATGCATAGATGTTAGATTTGAAAAGTTCTTTACATTCTCATCAAAAGTTTTATGCTGATTTTTTTACTGAATATACTTAGGTAGATTACTAATCCAAATGATTTTTTAGTCATCTAGTGTAGTTAAATAATCTTATTTAAATTTGTCTCGTATTAATACCAAGAGTAAAATTTCCATGTCTTGACGATGAATTTAGATAGTGACCTCAAATTTGATCTTACGCATTTTTATACTATAAAAAAAACATCGTTGTTTCAACGTGAAATATGTTCTTGATGGTATCTTATTCATTTTTAACTGAATTTTCAATTTTTAAAATCTCCTGTCATATTTGTTCTGATCAAATACTTAAAATAATCATTCATCAGTAACTGAAGCCGTTTTTCAATCTATTTTTTCCCCTGTATGTTTAGGTAAACCATCTAAAAGCATTCTCAAAACGAAGAAAGGTAAAGTTTCTATTCAGTTTCTGAAACTAATCTGACTTTAATTGATATATTTTTAGATAATGATTCCAGCGAATCTGAAGATGATGCTAAACCTAAAAAATCTAAACGTCCATTGAATGACAATGAATTTGAAGAAGTACCAATTGACCAGCGTATGTTATAAATTTATTATTTTTTTTATGTGTAACTCACCATTAGTTTCTTAAATAAAAGTATAAAAAATGTGAATTTTAAAATCGAGATTTCACCACTGCCATTGTCACAGAACCGATAGAGGATAAAATCAATGATCATTAGAAACTTTCCCCTATCAAAAGAGAACAGTAGATAATTAACTTCTATCCATGAATTACTTTCCGATTTTAAAAATGTAATATAATGACATAAGCAACAGGAGTGAAGCTATTCGTGAAAATTGAAAATATGACAGATGTTTGCTAAATTTCTAAATAATGTAACTTTTTCTATTTACGAAGATGATAATTTATATTCAGCATGTCTACAACTATGATTAGCAGCACGATCATCAGACGATCAATATAAAAACTATGAAATAATAAAGTTCTATCTTCAAACAAGAATCAAAATCTCCGTACTGATCGAGATATGAATATAAGTGTTTTCGAGACGTTGAAAATTAAGAAAAAGTGGAAACAATTTGGATTAATATACAGAAATAAAGTAGACTGTTCAAATCTAATGAGACTAAAGAATATGTGTGAATTCCAAATTTTAGCATCCTAGTGACTCTGCAAATTGCTTAATTTGTTGAATTGATTGTATTTATTTATTTGTTTTGCATATTTTCTAGCTATGAAACGTATTCATCTTGATGCTGATGATTTAGCATTAGGTCATGTTATAGCTCAATCGAGAAGAAATCGCGAACAAGTTCTTGATCATTCATATAATCGGTATTAAATGATACAGTGAAAAAGAAATATTTTTATTTGAGAAATTTTATATTTAGTTTTATGGGCTATGGTGATATTGATGGTTTACCAAAATGGTTTATTGAAGAAGAAAAACAACATTGTCGAGCAAGTTTACCTGTAACAAAAGAACTTGTAGAAAGATACAAAGCTAAAATGAGAGAAATCGATCAGAGACCAACGAAAAAAGTTGCTGAAGCTAAAGGACGAAAGAAACGACGTGTAAGCTTCTCGTTATTACTTGATGCTTTTTTTCTATTAATATTAAATTTTCTTATTTTCAAGGAATTACGTAAACTTGATAAAGTCAAAAAGAAAGCTGAACCATTACTTGAAAATCCTGATTTAGATGATAAAGAACGAAACAAGCAAATTAAAGAGTAATGTTACATATTTAACTTCTTTTTTTCATGGAAATATATTATTCTTCTTTGTTTTAGTTTGTATCGAAAATATGGTGTCATTGGACAGAAAAAACCTGACATTAAATATGTTGTTGCTAAAAAATCTACAGGCGGAGGTGCTCGTCCATCCGGTGCAAAAGGACCATATAAAGTTGTTGACAAACGCTTGAAAAAAGATAAACGAGCAGCTAAAAGTCGAGGCAAAGCCAATAAAAATAAACAATCCAACCGAAAAGGACATAAACAACAAAAAGGAGCAAAAACCAACAATAGAAAAAAACGGTCATAGAATAAAAGAAGAAAAAACTCCATATTCGTTTAATATTGTTTTTGGATTGTTTGTTATAAGAAATAAAATGAAATCATTGTGATTTTAAAAGTTACACTTGCAATCAATATCAGAATAATACTTAAAATAGGTCTATCTCATGTTAAATTCAATGATTTAATATTGAAGTCGATTCTATTAATCCTACACGTATATTTACTCTGTTGGAAGGAATGCAAAGATTAAACTAACTGATAAGAATCTGTTTTTCAGAGCATCAAGCAATCTAGAAATCTTAAATAGCTTACAGTACATTATGTAAATATCAAAATTATAGCGAATCGAGCTTGAATCTCAATTTTATATGAAAAAGGATGAAACGCTATGGAAATCTCATACAAAGTAAAGTGTATCGTTAGCTTTTTCTCTCCAATATCATTTAAAATTCGTTTATCAGATCAGTGAGGTTCATTTTATTTCTATCATCAAAGAACAGAATGATTTTTTTTCTTGTAGAATTAGTTTTATTAAAATATTTGCTTGCTTTTAGAGAGCACAGTAAACAAAGAGCAGTTAAATATTTGTTTGCATATTCATGATTTTTATTTTTCAATTATTCCCCAATGTGAAATGCATACGTATTTAGTCAAATGAGAAAAAATAAAAAAATAAGTATTATTCTAGTAGATAAGTAGAAGTATAGTAGAAAATCGAAATAATCATAAACAAACGCGGTGTTAAAAGAAAGTACCTGATTTAAATATTAAATTCAGTTAGAAAATTGATAGTTTTTTTTACTAATGCCAGATAATAACAAAAATCAGTATAAATTTCTCAAACATAAGAATGGATATTACACAAGCTATTAGAAAACATTTAGCTGTTCAATTTTTTACTCTGTCACCGGTGTTGTTGTTCGTATGCTTTACACTCGTTTGATTTAAATTACATAGATAGAAAATATTTATTTTATTTTTCTAATACTTGACCATTTTTATCTGTCCTAGTAGTACGATACTACCGTAAAATTCACTATGTACAAAATTGAAATCGTAAATATCGACAAAGTTCAACACTGCTCAAAGAATAGAAGTATAATTTGTTAAATTATTATTAATATTTAGTGGTATCAAACTAAATTCGATAATAGTTTAGCATATGATCACACTTTATCAAGAAACGAATTGATATGCTTTGAAAAATACATAACAATATGGCTAACTTTTGGTAAAATCTACTAAGAATTATTTCCATTATGGTAAATTCACGACAATCAGATGAAATGATAATAAGAGAATGACATGAAGATATCGCATTTTGACCAGTAATCAAGACTGGCCTTTTTTTTCATACTTATAGAATTTTGACGAGAGATGCCAATCTCTTTACTGTCGAAGAACACAGCGTATTCTCAAAAATATTATTTATTCATCTTCAAATAGTTATCGGTAAATCAAATACTCTCATTTTAAACTAAGATTAACGAATAGAAGTTATTGATTTTATCGTAACAAAAGCGTTTTTGAGCACATAAAAATAAATAAATCTTTGCTCTATACAATGTTCACTTTTCATACTTTCTTTACGTAATACGATCTACGTGTATATCTATATTTCTCTTGAGTGAAATAAAACGCTTTCCGCTGAGATATTTCTATAATATATAAGCATTCATTTGAAAAGAATTTCATGTGAATGATAAAACAATACCAAAGTTTTTCTTTCATTTATCGAGTAACAATGACATCATATGTCGACTCGCGATCGGGATATGTTAAAAAGCTTAATCTTGAATTGAAATTTTCACTAAAAATGAATCATTAAATTGGACAACAACAATATGTCTGATCTTCAATCACTAATAATTCTACGACACGTCGATGAATATTTAAGTAAACAGATGGTAAAACAAAACATGTTCTTGTTATCGATATTTAAATTGACATATGCTATATTGCGAATAGAAAAGCATAAGTTCATAATACAATTGTTTTTTCTCTTGAATACATTCATTAAATAACAATAACAATAGAATAGATAATACTTTCCAATTTTTTCTTGAACAAAACAATTTTAATCATGTCTATGTGCATACATACATACATTGTATTGCCATTGGATACTGTCACTTTGTTCCTTTCGTTTCTTCGCAAAAATTTTCGACTGTCTTAGATTGATTAGAATGATTATGGAGAAGATATAATCAATCGTACGTACTTGCTCGTTTTCTATGTTGTAAAACATCGTTTGAGTATGCATTAAAAAATTAGGTCAATGTAGACAAACTATGTATGTATGCATATATATATCTATAAACAAATATAAAGCTCATGTCAAGAATCAATTGTCATCTATTGTATCTTTTCTTCTTTCCTCATCATCGGCTAGAGAACGATTGCATGTTGTCTCTCATCTATTCCATCTGTGCTTTGTCTCTCATACATACATATATACATGAAATTAGACAAAATAAAATACTAGTCGATTGAGTAATCAACTACATCATTGATCCATATATATTTATATATATATATATTATTTTATTTATCGATGATAACAGTCAACCATACAATATATTTCGATCATTCGTTTCTTTGTTCAGCTTTTCTTTGACACTTGAAATTTATATCACTGCTATTTCTTTCTAGTATTTCAATTAATAGATTTATCGCTATCATTAGTCTACTACACACATACAGCATTTTGAAATAGTAGACCATTGCTACTTATTGCACGGTTGTCATTCTCCACTTATGTCCTAAGTAAATCCTTTCTTTCATTTTTTTGTCTTCTTCCGGCTCTGCACTTCCTCTTTTTTCTACTATAGACAAAAAAAGAAGGCCTCCTCAAAATAGATATTATATATATTTAACTTGGGCATAATCATTTAGACATACGAAGAAAAGAATTTTTTCGTCAAAATATTATTATATTTATGTGTGTATTTTCTATATTTTTGACTGTTTTCCTAACCAGGCATTATTCATCCATCAACAGACCGACGACCTTGTCAACAATAGTTATCATCGGTTTTTTTCCAATTAGTTTTTGAGCATATAATGAAAAAACAAAAGGCTTCTTCCGACCTTGAGCAGTCTCATTGACTATAAAAATAGAAGACACATCAGAAAAAAGATTCTAATGAAATAAATATGTCGAAAGCCGAAGGATTTGTGTTTATGCGCATGCATGCTGTTTAGTGTTCCAGTAAGATGATTTCTTTTTCAATTTATTCAAGGCCTATAATTTCCTATTCAATCTTTCTCTCTTCAACATCTTTGCAAGTAAGCATTGATAATCAGTCATGCTCTCTCTCTCTATTAACCTATGCACGCACGCACATAACTAAATCCAAAATGAACACACACGCTCTCTCACACACACACACATATATATATATAATTATGTGTATGGACAAAAAGGAGAGTGAGAAAGAGAGAAAAGAGAGCAAAAGAAGAAGAAAAAAAGAATGAACGAGTGATGCTGCTGGAGACATTTAGATAGAAGATTATTCTTTTTTTTTTGTCTAGATATGAGAAGGTGTTCATGTTAAAAAACAAAAAATACATATGGTTTTAACTGTAATTATATTTATTCTTCTATTATTTTCATCGGCCATCGTAACATTTGATGATTATTTGGAAAAATTATCTGTAAATACGGGTGAAACAACAACATTTATATGTGATCTACCCGAACGATATTCTAACAAGCCAGTAAGTATTTTCATGTCTTACGATCTATCATTCATGTTTTATTTTTCTTTAACTTATAATAAAAAAAAGCACAATAGAATATTATTGCATCATTTTCACTTGGGAAATCTATGTTTAGGTTGATTTTTATGGACCCACAGGACGTTTGTTGGTACTAAAAACCGGTGAAAATATTGGAAGTGATGATCGCACACGATTTATGCTTGAACATAAGTACGTGACATTTTTTGTTTGGCTAAAAACAAAAAAATTTAGAAAGCCGTTAGTCAACATCAATACGGCGTGATGTTAAAATATGTGTTTTTTTTTGTCTTGTTTAGATATGCGTGGACGTGGAGTCTTATTCTATCTGATGTATCGGAGGAGGATGCAGGAGAATACACGTGTCGCATCTCAACCGATGATCGAACATTAACAATCATAAAACGATTTGATTTAACCGTTTTGAGTAAGCATAGATTTTTATCGTTCACACTCATGTGTGACCCTACTTTATTTTATTAATATGTGAAAGGTGTTTCCGATTGTTATTTGATGAGACTAAACAGGAAATTTTCACACAATAAAATTTATTCGATCGATAATATCATACAAATAATCATAAAAGTCATTTTTTTTGAAAATTTCACATTGTGACGAGATCAAATTTATGTAATAAAATGACTCCCTACAGCGTTTTTCACTCGTTTTTCTGTGTTAGCTTTAATTGATTGAACCATTAACATACATGTTTTCTCTTGTCTTTGACTTTCTTCTGATGAGAATAGGGACGCGTCTAAAATAAAGTATTTATGTTATTTTGTTTGGCGACAAATTTGATTAATTATTCTTATTCTCTTTTTTGTCTGTAAATATTTCTAGCACCGCCTAAAATTGTCGATATAACAATTGAATCGAACAATAATGGAATACTTATTGAGAATGAACAAATTGTTTTAAAATGTTTAACTCGTGGAGTTCCACAACCGAAAATTCATTGGGACATACCAGCACAAAATATCATATCAACCGAAAATCATAAGCACAGTAAGAATTTTAAGTAATAAAACAAAAGAAAATTTTCGTTAACTTCGACTAGATATAATACCTTATGATAACAAATTAATTATAAGAAATTTTTCACGTACAACACCAATGAATTATCAATGTATTGCTGATAATGGTATACCCCCACGTGATACACGCACAAGACATTTAGTTCCAGCTAGTAAGCATTTGATTCTTTTTCTCTTCTCTTCTTCTTTGTCTTAGCTTCTAATCTAATACTACGAGAAAGAAGATGTCATCTTATCAAAAATGAATAAAGCCATGGTACTGAAAAAGTATACTCTTGAGTATTACGTACTTCTACAGACTCAATTATTAATATAAATATAGAAACTCTTCAACAGAAGAAAAGAATAAAGCTTGTATGAACTTTTTTTTCTTCTTCTTTTGTCAAACAGTAGGAGGTCGATATAGTATGAAATTAGAGATCATAATATAATGATTAGTTATAATATACACAAATATATATATATATATATTGAACGTTTGTGTGCACATGTGATAAGAGAAACGAATGACGATCTCAAAAGTGGACACATGCTTGTGCTCTTTCCTTCTGTCATTCATTCAACCATTATGTTCGTCAATAAAATAACAAAAAAAAGAAAAATGTCTATACCACATGAATTTAGTTCATTCACATATGTGCTTGAACAAATATATCATAGCAGGGTGCAAAGTACTTTTTTGTTGCATTTAGACACATATGGTTTAAGTACTTTTTTACATAAACTTTGTTTGAGCTGATCTACCGTGAAAAATGATACATTAATCATTCATTTGCAGTTTTTTCAAGAGAAAAGGTCGTAATTTGTTTCAGTGTTTTATTCAGCAGGTGAAAGAAATGTACAATTTGGTGATAGCGTATCGAAGGTTAGCTTCATCTTACATAAATTTGGCGATTATTCTATCACAAATTATTATATTTCGATACAATCGAGAAAGGACGTGTGCAGTTCCGGAATTTTTAATCATTCTTTGCACAGAGAATTTCTAAAATAGAATATCTATCTATTGAATTTTTTTCTACAGATGAAAACTAATAATAACACAGATGAAACTCATACAATCCAATAATGACACGTTCGTTCGATTGGCTAACTATGAAGTTTTTCGATTGTTTACGTTATTCAGTCAGAACTATACATTAATAATAACTATTTGATTGTTTCATTTCATTGAAATTTCACAAACTGACATAGATTTATGGTTCACTTTAGTTCCACCTGAAGTAACAGTTCAAACTACAATATCTCGTTTTTCTTCTCAAATTTTACTCAATTGTACCATAATAGCACGTCCGTTAAGATCTGCAAAATGGAAACGTAATCGTATTGAAATGAATAGTATGAAACGTATAGAAATTAATGATTATACCATACAATTACCATTTCTAATACAAGTAAAATTTTAATCTTTTAAACATCATTTAAACTAAAACTAGTGTTTTTATTTCAAAGTTTGATCCATTAAATTACACAAATCTATTTGGCATGTATGAATGTGAAGCGGAAAACCAATTTAAAGTATCTAAAGCATATATTATCATCAATGGTATAATTTTTTTGTTGTTTTTATCGAAATATAAAAGCTTTACGCAAAATAAAATTCTAACCTTAATTTAGAATCAATTCTTTCCGATTTAGCAATAGCAAAACAAGATCGAATATCATCATCTCCAACTTATGGTAGGTTTCATTTGTATCTGGTTGATGGAAAGTAGATTAGCTTTGTGAAACAATTGAACAATAATATAATGTTTTGTTAGCGGTAGCGGCATCCTTCTAAGTTTTTTCTATACAATTCATCTCATTTCTTTTAATGAACAAGATCTGTTTAGAATAACATCTTTCATACAAAGTCAATAGACATTTGACTGTTTTTTCTTTCTTTTCTTTTTAGCACAAATTGAACTTCTACTTAATTGTTCATTATCTTTATCATATGATTTCTATGTAATATTATTTATCAATATATTTATTGTGACTTCTTCATCTGGCTTTTATAACAAACAATAACAGAAACAAAATAACAAAAAATATTTTTTCTAGTCTTTTATATCGTTATGCCTGTGATATTCATCTTTTCGTCAGATGATTTGTCGATCTTGTTTTGTTTTTCTTCTTTTTCTGTCTTTATAAAACAGTGTGAAATAAATACAAGAAAGAATATCGCTTCTGGCTATCGCATCATTTCCAGACGGCATATTAATTAGTCAAATTCATAATGATCTCCGTGATGGTATTCATCAGCTTCAGGATAAAAATGAGTATATACAACAGAAAAGAGAAATTCTAACGGATGGCCCATAAAGAATTGCCCTGTTAGTATATTTGAATTTTCTCGTCTTCCTTGAATACGATCGGAGTGTCTTTTTTTTACCAAAGGATTCTCCGCTCAATTCTCTACAAAAAATGTATTGATTGTTTTACTTCAAAATCCAAAGACAAAAAATGCGATAGACAATCGTGAGAAATACCAAAATGTAGAAAAAAATAAACGTGGATAAATTGAACAGCAGACGTTTCGGGTATAATCCACTCAAAGTTTGTAAGAAAGAAAAGTTATGGTAGCCATCGTGTGCGCCTTAAAACGCTCTATTTGTTTACCAATGATTAAAAAATCTCGCAGTTAGAATTGAGGACGTAAGAATTTTATTATTTTTTGTCAATTTTTCAAAAAACGACGATTTTTTTCATCAATAATGTAAGTTTCCCAATAAAACAAATGAAGCTTAGCCAAAGTGGATTCACTCGTGCATCTTTTTTTTAATTTGTATTGAAAACCAATGTCCTTTCGTTATTTTTGGGTATTTGAGATTTGAAAAGAACATTGTTTTGTTTAGTTACGCAAAAACAGATACTAATTGTTGTTATTTTTCACTTGATTGTAGTGAACCTAATGTTTGTATCAAATATTTAGATTAAAATGACTTTTGCTCTACAAGACGAGATAGAGCGCATTTGAAACTACATAAAACATACTGAAACCGTCTTCTGATACTTGTGAAAGCATTCGAAAAAATATAGCTCGATGTGAGAAAATATCTGAAAAATAAAATTATTTTTTCATACACTTTGGTCCTTCTCACAATTACCTATCGCATTTTGAATCTTTGGATTTTAAAGTAAAACAGTCAATACATTTTTTGCAGAGAATTGAGCGGAGAATCGTTTGGTAAAAAAAAAGACACTCCGATCGTGTTCAAGGAAGACAAAAAAAATTCAAATATACTAATAGGACAATTCTTTATGGGCCACCTGTTATATTAAAAATAAACTATCTTTTGCATTGGTCTCACATATTTTATTCGGAATATTCGATATCTATTCTATATGTAAATAGCAGTAGTGTCACGAGTAGAATAAACTAAGACCTACTTTCATAACCTGTTACAGTACTTTAGGGAAGTGTTTCAAGTTCAGTTAGATTTTTAGCAAAATCATTTAGCTGTAGGCAAATATTTTCATTCAGAAATTTTAATATAAAAATATTTGTCATATAGTATTAGGAGCATACAGTATCCTCGGGTAGTTCCTGAGATTAATTCAAAGATATGAAGTACAGAAATAATTTTTTCTTTCATTTAGCAATGAAACAAATAGTTCGTTTTCGAATGAAAACAGTTTCGTTCAGTTAATGATTAGTATAAGTTAGTATTTTTTATTAATCAATGAGAACAACGTGATTGGTGAGTTTGGATGAATTAGGATGAGTTTGAAAAAAAACAAAATGAAAAGTCATTACAAATAAGTAACTTAAAAACTATTCAAAAAATCAATGAATAACTGATAGAGAGTTATTCGAATTCATGACAACTCATTAAAATTCAATTGATTTTTTGATAATTATTCTCTAACTTAGAAATGATGTATAGGCAATTTAAATTATTTGTTTTCCACTTCTTTCTAATTTCTTGTGTTGGTGTTAAATTCATCGATTTCACTACTGTTGTGTTCGATTTGTTTTTAGTAAAAAACTGGTATGCAGTAATTTTCTTTCAAATAACTAGAAAGAAGCATCTATTTTTCATTGCAAACGGTATATGCTGTATGCCGCGATCATTTCATCCCGAACCTGTTTGAACTTACTCTAAGGAACATTTGAAATATTTTTTTTAAAGATGGTGTTCTAATTATATAAATGAGTTTGTAAATGCACTGATAACTCTCAGAACGATTCTCAATTTTTACAAATAAATCATAGAAGAAATGTTTTTGACATGAAGTAAAATAAGTGACGAACCAAAAAGCTAATAAATGACTGTTATCTTATTCATTTGACGTTTCTTCTAATCGAAAACTCATTTGATATAAATATTTGAAGAAATCCTATCATTAGAATTCTTCATGCAAATTACAAGTATAGTATTATCATTTTACTTTACATTTCATAGTATATTTTCTTTCATGATAGAAACAAGAATTAATACTTCTGCATATGAAGGCTAATGAATTATGACGAATAACTATACACCGCGGCGCTTGTCAGGATTCGAGCGAAAACATTCTTTGCAAAGGATGTCCCCCTCGGGGATTTATCAGGACACTGCGATGCATGCTATTAACATTTAATTCTTAGTTTCACATGCAATAAGTAGATATTTTTCGAGCTTAGATTATTTATTTCACAAGAAAAACTTACTCATTATAATTATGATAGTTTAGAACAGCATACATTTTGAAATTTTTATCATAGTAGACAAGATTGAGAAAGAATAAAGATGTTTTCTTTTAATGAAAATGAATTATTAATATTTTTCTAAGATATTTTACTTGAAAATTGTCTAATTTACAGTTGTTTATCTATAAACGTATCAGACTTCCTAAATCCAGCGGCGAATTTAGATATGATTCTTGAAATGTAAGAATTTTCCATTTTTCAAGGAAATAAATCGACTATACAGTTGTTTTAAGGTTAATACTTAGTAAGATTCATTTAGAAAGTTCCCCATTCAATTTACTATGAGAGTAGCAATTATTTTTCAGTACTAAGTTTTAGAAAGTAAAACGAATATCTACATCCAATTCGGTAGAGAAATAAAATCAGTTGAGTCGATTATCTGTTTACAGATGTTATTTTTAGTTACTAGAAACTCGTAAACTTCAGATTATTATTATGCGAATCTCTCAAAATAAAGAGAAAGAAGGAAATAGTATTTAAATACTAGTAATCACATCATGTTTTTCTAAACGGTGAATAAGAATTTTCATTTACTATCTTGACTATACAGAGCAGGAAAGAATCTAGTTTTTTATCTTCCATGAATTATCAAATTTCAGTCTACTTTGAGCCCATCTTTGATGGTAATAATAGCATTGACTCTAAATATACATTTTGAAATTATTCCATTATTCATAATTTCTTTTGAAACAACAAAAGATAATATTTTATTTAATTTCTCTTGAGTCTTAATGTATAGCCATGATTATCAGTTTTAATAATCGATAGATTATATACAAAAAACTTAAAAAGAAATCGCATTATGGAAAGAGTTTAGCGAAAATTATTCTTTTTGCACTCATTAAAACGGTTAGATGAGCATAAATAGTTCAATTAAAAACAAGAGATTTTGTTGTATTTTTTTAATACTAGAAGCAAAATAGCTGCCATTGATCTACGATATTCTTTTCTTTTCTAGTTCAGCATTTCTTCTTTATCATTATCGATTAGATAGAATATAATATAAAATCTGAACTTAATATAAATACAACGCGTATGTTTTTTGCATGATAATACGTAAGTTAAGTAAGAAGAAAATCATGGCTAAATTGCTGTTAATGATTCAAAATCTAAAAGAAATGCTTCTTAGATTTCCTGTTCATTATTTTCCTGTGGATAACGTGACAATTTTAAAATTGCTGCAGTTAAACTTGATTGATATTACTATGATAGAGAGTTCAATGACTTCAGCACTAGGTCACTTTAACACCAGACAAGAACAATAGAAAAATAATTGTGTATTTCTATATGTTGATCACTGATAAGTGCTTTTGATAAAATATAATTATGATACTAAAATTACCACATAAATCTCTAACGAAAAACAAAATGTTCTTTAGTGTAAATTAGTACTCATCAAAATTCCTTCCGTACGTCCTTCCTTGTGCTTTTGTGCTACAAATCTATCCGCTCTTCTATAGATCTAAATTTTATGAGAAAGATTTTTCATTAAAATGTTGACTTTTTTGTCGTGCTTATTTTCATCATCATTTTATTTTCTATCGAAAATAATTTTTTCTAATAAAATAAGTTTGACAGTTTAATTTCATTTGTGTTGAAATATTCTATCTTGAAGAGTTTCCATTCTGAAAATATGAATTTTGTTACTGGCGCCTAAACATATTCATTCTCTGCAATGATGATTTTATATTGTCACATGATGTTGAACAAAAACACTACTGGAAACGTTTCGTCTACATACAAAAAAACGATATCAGTGTCTTTTTTGATAATTGCTGGTGATATGCAAATATTTTAACTTGTTAACCTTATAATTTTGTTGAGATGAAAAGACGTGCCATTCTTAACTAAATCTGTAGGAAAAACTTCCTACAGGTTCACTAATTATCAAATTTTGTCTTAATTTATTTTACAAATAAAAGGTGAGTTTCTTAGACAAGAAAGATATTATGTTCTTATTTTGTAAGGAAACAATTTGAGATTCAAGTTTTTCTCTCTCATCTGGAATGTTATTGCCGTAAGCGAATATAAAAATTGAATCATTAATTTCATTTTTGTTCAATGGTTTGAAAATTAATATTTCAGTAATAGTCATTTCCTGTTAAAACATTCTGATACTAGATAAGCCTCTGTTTTATCATAAATGAGCATTATTGATAGGCCTATTATGCGCGAATAACTTCATTGTTTATGCTAGAAGTAAATCTGTTATGTAATTTTCTATTGCAAAAAAAAAGAACTACTATAAAATTTGATCTTTTCATTTCTTAATTTCTGTGTAGAAAAATAACAGTGGAAATCATTGCTTTGTTAATTGTATAAATTGAGTGAACATTATCTTTCTTAAGAGTAATAGAAGTCGATGATAGACAAAACGAGATTAATTACTTCATTCATATGTAAATTTATTTCTGTTGTTGAGATTTTCTAATTACTATTTGTTATATCTCTTATCTTTCGATAAGACGACAGAACGGAGCAAAAGATATCCCCCTTCGCATGGAATCGAACCATGCACCTCCTGCTTACCGGGCAGACGTATTAACCATTTTACTGGAAAGGGTATCGCTCTCCGTCTTCCGATTGTATGGGAACAATACGATCGTAACACTATTCAAAAACAATCGACAAGAACGTAAGTGTCAACGTGTGATATTAATAATGTTTATTTAAGAATCAGCATACTCTTTTTAATCGATCATCATCGCAAAATTGTGCATATAGTAATTTTCCTGAATACTCAGTAGTCATGCCATTGATATTTATGTGATCTTTTTCTAATTATTAAGTAACACAATCCAATGTTACAATTCAGAGCACTTGTGCCATACGTAAAGTGTCCGAATAAAATAAATTAGATTATCATATATCATATAATACACATGAGAAAAGACAGAATATTTTAATCTAATAGAATTTCCTTTGTTCATTATATCTTTTCTTTTGCCGAAAACACTCCACTATGTAGTAAGTTCTGTCATTATATCATTATAAGCCTTTCTTAAAATATCAATGAGCCTTCAGACAGTATTTTTTCTCTTCAATGTAATTATCTAATTTTAGATCATAAATAAGAGGTGATTATTTTGCAGAAATTATTTTTTTCTTCCTCTAAACATGCCAGGTAGACCATAGATTAAAGGATGATTTTGTCATCCGTAGATTCTTTAATTGCTTACTAGAACAAGAGCTTAATTTGAAGTGAATCCAAATTTTCACATATAGATAATTGAAATAAATAAAAGATGCTAACACAACATATTCAACAAGTAACATTCATAGATACTATAAATAATGATTTAACACATAGATAAAAGACTACAGTTGGGCCTGTAATTATAAGAAATTCATTTAACTATAATTCTAAAATGAATCTTGGAATGAGGTGCGCGTGAATATATACAAGTTTTTCAACATTAGTTCAACAACTAATTTAGGTAGTGTCAAAAAAACACTTTTTAGTTTTAATTTATTCATAGTGTAATAGGATGCAAAGTGAAGATGTCGAATTCGACTGACATGTGCTATTTATCTAGTCAGTAGAATTGGAACTATAAAAACGAAGAATACCATAATTCTTGAAATCTGCAAGTGTATATGAACTCATTTGAAGTTAACTCTTCTAATTGATCATCTGATATAGATGAGCCAGATTTTAATAGTATTGAAAGGTGGTATTCTTTATTTCTTTAGTACCAAATAATTGTATTTTCTAGTCTGATGGAGAAACAATTAGTTGAAGAAAAAACGATTCCTTTTCACTATGCTATTTGATAATAATAATAATAATAATTCAACAGTAAAAGAAGTAGGAAGTAAAGTATGAACAAGAAAGTGAGAAGGAATATAATTCTCATGCGTGATAATATAATGAGATGATATTTTCATCCTACTACACTTCTTTTCTCTCTATGGAATACTAACGCAACGAAATTATCTTTTCTCTTGAATCTTATTCTTAGCACTTGATTTTTAGAAAACCAGAGTTATTCAAGAAGAAAAAAAGTCATCTGCAGAATGTTATTCATGCACTTCTGACGAATTTTCAAAAATTCTCGGTCCTGCATGTTTTGTGCAGGAAAGCTTCGGTATATGTTCAATCGTTTTACGGGATGTGACCAATGGAATATTTCAATATCTGAAATTATCTTTCAGAACTCGAATAAAAAGATTATTTTCTTTTATTGACCTAGGGAATGGTTTGTAATTATCAAAGTAAATTATCCAACTAGACGAATGATGAAATATAAATGTATGAGGTTCTTTAACATTAACATGTAGAATTATTATCTTTTCACTGTCAATAACTCTTTCATTCGATTGCTTTTCATCTATCAAAGTCACCTAATACTTTTAATTGTCGTTTTAAATATTTGTCAATAGAACAATTGATTTTGAATGTTCTCAAATTATCCCAGCGGTAAGTGCAGCACATAACGTATTTATTTTCTTATTGATTTGACGACACTACAATAAATAATAATCATTTGACCTAAAGCGTTAATATAATTTTCTTTTAAAAAACCTTCTTTCTTCTATATTAAAAAGTACAAGAAGCAAAAAAAAAAGAATAAATTCTAAATGTGAAGAAAGTTTTAAATCTTTTTTCCATAGTTTCATTTCAGATATGGCATTTGTTATATTGAATGGTAGCATTTCATCATTTTCTAAACGCTTTTATACAGTAGCGTTGATCTCTTGCATTCTTCTTTGCTTATGTTCTTATTGCTCATCAGCACCATTCGCTTCATCGGTTATCGATGTTGAGCCATTATCTGATGACGTCAATGATGTTTTCAATTATGAAGATGGAATGAAATTTTATATACCCTTACAATCATTATCAAATCACTTAATAAATGATCATCAAAAGAAAATGGCAGCATCAAAAGCTCATCTTTTTCGTGTTCTACTAAAATCATTATTAACTGAATCTGACCATCGTCATGCACAATACAATGACAAGCGTTATGCATCTCAATCGTTTCATGCAATGCGTGGCTGAAAAGAATCGCATACTTTTTTGCTCGTTCAATCTACACGTAATACAAGAAATAACTTTATTTGTTGTATCGTCAATTTGGAAATACAGAAAAAAAATCAGAAAATTTTATTTTTTCATTCATTTATTGAGCGCATAAATAAGAATAAAATTTAAATTTAAATATAAATAACTAAAAAACTAGAAAACTATCACATTTAATGGTGCTCCATCTGTTTGAGACTTAACTCGTTTGTAGATAAATGTAAGCAATAGAAATGAAAGGATAGTATTTCTTTCTTTCAATCAACCATTTATGTATTTATTCATTCATCAAAAGTGTAGAAACGATACATACGTGTATATATATATATATATATATAATATACATACATTTGTTTATTTAAAAGAATGGCAGTTTTACAACAACATTTGAAAACTTTGAGTGTCTCGTTAGCTGATGCTATATTAACTATTTCTATGAATAGGCCCAAAGTTAATGCTATGTCTGCTGAATTACTCAATGATCTTGAACAAGCATTTGATCATGCTTCAAAAAACAATCATATCAAAGGTGTTCATCTACGTTCTAATTTTAAGTAATTGATCAGTAAAAAGAAATATATCATGATAAAAATGAATTCTCTTCTTAGTTCAACATTTTCTGCTGGTCTGGATCTTTCTTACATGCATGAAAAATGTAGTACACGCGATCGGTCAACAATTGATAAATTTATTTTTACTACACTCAGTCGTGGTGTAGCAGCACCACTGCATTGTTCGAAACCAGTTGCTTGTTCACTTGATGGTCACGCTATTGCTGGTGGTATTATACTTGCTCTTGCTTGTGATTATATTGCAATGGGTACACGAAAACCATTTCGTATTGGTATAACAGAATTAGCTGTTGGTGTTCCATTTCCTTCAAAGCCTCTTGCAATTGTACGAAATCAACTTGAACCACAACTAGCTCATCGATTGATATTTGATGCAAATCATATTTCATCAAATGATTTTCCAATTCGATGTGAAAGAAGTGAAACACCAGATGATTTAGCACGAAAATGGTTGAAAATGATCAGTGAAAGGCCATTGAAAGGTTTTCAAATAACAAAACAAAAATGGTGGTCAGATGTAATAGAATTGGATTCGAAAGACAATGAAAAAGAAAAAAAAGAATATTTTGATACTATTTTTGGTGAAGATTGTCTACAAGCTATGAAACAAACTCTTCAAAAGTAAATGTAGTTTTACTTTTGTTAAAGTTAGAATTATTTAGTGAAAAAACAAATTCTTTTTAAATGATACCTCAAAAGATTCTAATTGATGATTAAAATTATACTAAATAGGAATTCTTTTAATGAATACCAAATAATGTTGTAGTAACGAATGTTTATTCTATTTATATAAGCACCATCTGCAAACGAGTAATTTCGTTTGTTATTGAATAGAAGCAATCAAAACCATGACGAGGAACATGGCAAGTTCGCGTTTTTGGTCAGCAGCTATTTCAAGTATCAATAAACAAGTACAGTTAGCGAACAACAGTATATTTGTAGATTGTATCTTTTTTGTTTCTAACTAGATATATATATCAAATAATAGAATACATTGCATTCTAACTATTCAATTTTATGAATTTATAATGTACCGAAAAGATATATTTATTGAAGTGAACAGTCAATAAAAGTTTAAATGTACAAAATCTTTAATAGAGAGTTTTGCATTAAAAAAATATTAATGAGAATATTTAAATGGTAGAAATCATTTTTTTTTCCTATACTCTAAAGAGTGTATTTGATTAATAGATACTCGAAGGCGTTATGCATGTTTCATATGATATAATTATTCTTCCTTCTTATCTTTCGATGTTTGAATTTTTCTTTCAGAAAAAACAAAATGATATGCTTCGTTCGGAAATCGAACCCAAGACACAACATCTGGTTAACCGGACCAGTGCTCTTACCATTGAGCTACGGAAACACGATTGAACATACCATTTTTGTTTTTCTGAATGAAAAATTCAAACATCGAAAGATAAAAAGGAAGAATAATTATATATGAAAGTGTACTTGTTACACAAGAATATTATTTTAATGAGCTTTTACATTTTATGAGGACATCTCAAGGTTTCAATTTCCTTAGGGGCAGCTTCAAATTTTGATTTATTTTCATACTTTGTACCGCCTTCGTCCTCGTTGACTTTTTGCTGTTTAGAAAAAAACCGTCGTGTGCGGATGCAAGTGCTGTATATATTTTGTAAGAAAAGTATAGTATTTTTGAAAGTCAGCAAATCTTACAGAAAGAATGAAGGAAAATAGCTGCTGAGGTAAATCTTTACGCCTTAGTAAACCCTGTGTCGTCGATAGAAAATATGGTATTCTATGAATTTCACTATGTTGATGTTAAATATGAGCATTAGAAATTTCTTTAAATTTTCTCTAGAACTATCGCAGAAAATTTCTTTGCAAGACTAACCAGATCTTTGTTAAAAAATATTTTTCATGTTGTCAAACTTGTGAACATATCGAATAACCTAGAAAATAAGCTTTTTTGTCAAATGTATTCTCACAATGACTATTAATATGACATACTATTTCACAAGACTATTTTCTTGTTAAATCCTATTAATATAGACGGATGAATATGATTGTTTCTAGAGTTATTCGATAAGTGCACTACGTAAACCGGAGAAAAATACTTTTTTTTATGATAGTGAAAAGATTTTATACAAAATATTCATATGCAAGATAGACTGTAATGTAACTTCTGTTCTCCTATGATCTTTCTCAGAAAATCCAAGAGAATAAGTTTTTTTCCGTGAAATTTACGTCGATGATCATTTTTAGAAAGCTTAGACTTCATTAGAAAACTTTTGAACTACTCCAGTTTTGCAACTGATAATTTTATACTTGAATGAATCGAGTTGATGAGTGTTACTCAGACACTAAGAGCTAGTAATAACATGATTCTACTAAAATCATTGAGAAGATTGTCTAAGAAATTTAAAAAAAAAGTATCCTTTGAACTTTCGTAAAAAAACTGGAATATGACTCTATGCTTTTGAATTCAATGTAATCTCATGGTCTGAGGCAATATAAAGAAACCAATTTTGTAGAATTTTAAAGTTATGCACTAATTAATATTTGTTTATCAGTGAGTTATGCGATGTAATCTTAGCGAGATAAAATAAAGATATCAAATCAATAAAGAGCTTTTAATTAAATAAACGATCTTACTAACAAGTAGACCGTAATTTAATTACAAAATATAAACAAAAACAAAATGACATGCAGAAATAAAGAAAAGAGCAGATCATTCAAAAGTACATTGTTCTTGTGGATAGACTGAAATTTTTTTAAGAATTTTCTAGTTTTGTCGTGTATGTTATTTGAACAAAATTGAAAATAATTTTTGAGTCATCTGTGTACAGTCGAACTCGATTGGATGAAATAAATATACAGTTGTGCTTAAAAATATTTGAGATACTTCGTTTTTTCCTGAACTTTTCGTGATAATAAATGATCGAACTATTTCAGATTCTATTCATAACTTCATTAGTACTATTGAAAAAACACTGAAAATTGAAAATGTCACTTTTACAACAACATTGGAAGACACTAAGTATATCATTGACTGATACTATTCTAACCATATCAATGAATCGTCCAAAAGCTAATGCAATGTCACCAGAACTACTCAACGAACTCATTCACGCTTTTAATCAAGCTTCAAATGATAATAAAATCAAAGGCGTTCTTCTTCGATCTAACTTAAGGCATATATTTTTTCAATAGCCTAACAACTTCTTCAACTACGAACTTTTCTTTTGTATAGTTCAACATTCAGTGCTGGTGCTGATCTCTCAACCGTATATAATTTGTCGATTGCTCGTCAACGGGCAGTCATAGATAACTTCGTCTTCGAAACACTCAGTCGAGGCATGACTGCTCCTCTACATTGTTCAAAACCGGTTGCTTGTTCACTTGATGGTCATACTATTGCTGGTGGCCTTATGCTTGCTCTTTCTTGTGATTATATTGCAATGGGTACACGAAAACCATTTCGTATTGGTATTACTGGGCCAATTGTTGGTATTCCGTACCCATTAAAAGCGGTCAAACTCGTTCAACATCAACTTGAACCTCAGTTAGGATATCGATTTCTTGTCGATGCAAATCTTGTTTCATCAAATGATTTTCCAATTCGATGTGAAAGAAGTGAAACACCAGATGATTTAGCACGAAAATGGTTGAAAATGATCAGTGAAAGGCCATTGAAAGGTTTTCAAATAACAAAACAAAAATGGTGGTCAGATGTAATAGAATTGGATTCGAAAGACAACGAAAAAGAAAAACAAGAATATTTTGAAGCAGTTACAAGCGATGAATGCATGCAAGCGATGAAAAAAGCTTTAAATAAAGATACTAAATAAACATAAGGCGAATACTCTTTAAAAATGAATTTTTTTTTTATAAAAAACAAATGGTGAAGAAAAAAATCTGATGGATAATAAATGCATTTGGAGACAACAATTAATTAGTTCTATAAAAAATTACGAAAAAAATTCTTCTGTTACATTCCAAATAGTCTCCCATTAAATGAAATTGGACTCAAGTCCTTTAAGTAGACAATTTCTGATGAAATCTTGAGCTAAGAAAAAACAAGAAGAAATTAAGGTAAAGTGTGCTCTTTCTTGGGCTGCATAATTCGTTCAGTAATTTCTAGGATCATTTTCTGTGATTTGCAAAGTTACTCAATTATTGGATGAAGTGGCTTTGAATATTTTTGAAATGTACTTTTAGGTTTTCGATAGTGCGAACATTAAAAATAAATAATCCCAAATAATTCTGTAAGTGTGTAGTATTCTTTCGGTATCAGTTTTTAGAGGTGACACATTTTAATGTTAAAAATATTTTAATTTGAAGAAAAATATTTTTTTTACATATATAGCTTTATTTAAAGCACATTTTCATTGAAAAAAAAATTTAAATTATTTTAAATTTAACTGTAGAATTTTATTTCGAATTTAGCTTTAATTTTTGTGTAATTAAAAATTTAAAAATTTAAAGAAAATAAATTTTTAAATTGACCCCTGTGATTAGTTGATAAAAGAATTCTATTGTTAAGAAATAGTCTTAATATTGTAGAGGAATGCATTTATTAAGGTGATGAATCAGTAACATATTCAACTAAATCATTTAATTCAAAGAATGTACTCTCTCCTTTGTATGCGGCGAAGTAATCGTGCGATGAAATGATGACCACAAAGTGATCGCGACGAAGTGTACTAGTGCCGAAAATAATCGGTGATTTGTTTTTTGATATAATTTATCCGATGACTGAATGCTGAATGCTATGGAATGTATGGGAGAAAAAACTCATCTGCAAACAGAATGAATGAATCATGATTTATTAAATGACATATATCTTTATTTATTTGAAATAGCATTCAAAAAAAAGCAAAGACTAATACTATGTACGATATGTTTACATAATGAGACTAGTGAAAATGATTACGCTTTAATCAATATATATATATATATCTTCTGTTCTGTCTTAATTATAACTTCTATCGATGAAAATGATGATGTGTAACAAATTGTAAGATAAGAATCCTATGTTTTTACTCATATTTCTGACATAGAAGTTCCCATTGATGTCGGTTTGAGATTTCGCTTCAATAATAATATATTTATGATTTGACATTTGAATTCATTTAAAGTATTCAACTTCTTGTGGAACCTACAATATCTATAGTAGTAGTAGTATGCTTTAGTCGTTGGCATTTGATTTGATTCTAGCATATTTCAATGCAAAAGAAAATGATAAGCTCATATTTTGATAAGTAATCATTACTCATCGGAAGATTTTGTTTTCCATCCCGGTCAATGGTATTGCTAATGTTGCCTTTTTCATGGATTGATATACTTCTGCTGTGACAAATTTTTTGCTTCGAGAGAACTTTGATACAATAAGATATTCTATTTCATTCATAGTATATAATAATGAGAACATAACTATATTCTAGTTATACTGTGTTGTTGTCTCGCTATCATATAATGTCTATGAATGGTCTTGCCTTTTGCTTTTTCCTTTTCCTTTCTTTCTTGCAACCGTCTGACATCCTACGAGACATATAGGGTGTCACTCCGATTCGTCCCTGATTAGACGCGTACCCAGTTTGTCCCATTCCGAATTTGTACCTATCACAATTCGTTTCATGCTTAATTGGCATCTATTTTTTCGGAATGTCGTGATTATCCTCATCTATTGAATGGTAAGTATACTAATCACGATACCTTATGTCTCGTTGATCTTCTGAAATACGAAAAAAAACTTAGGAAAATAGCGAGCATAAAGAAAATTGCTTTTATTTCTCTAGTAAACCAAATAACTCATGTTTAAGTTCACATATATCGAACGTTCAAAGCTTGTGTTGAACTTTAAAGGACGTCAATATACAAAAAAACGGGAAAATAAAACTGGTCAAGAAAAAGAACAATAAAGAGAGTAATAACTTTACTCTAATCTTTCTTTTCTTTGATAATAAATAGTTCTTTCTCTATAACGTACTATATTATTTTCCAGGCAATCAGGGACGAGTTGGGAGTTGCTGAGAAAAATACAGGGACGAGTCAAGAAAAATTTAAATGGACCGAATTGGGTATGGGACCAATCAGGGACGGATCGGGGCTAAACCGACATATGACACAACTGTTTTTGATTAAATTGGGTCGTCGCTATTCTGTGAAGTGCAGAATTTCACTTGAAGAACATCTGCATTATGCAAGTCATGCATAAAACATGATATAATAAATGAAATATTTATCTAGATAAAGGATAACTTATGAGACAAAATGAAGCATTTTTCTTTGTGTCAACTGATATTAGATTAATCTATTTGTTAAAGAAACTGCAGAATCATTTTAGTTATGTGACATATTCCGTTCAGCGTTGTTTTTCTTTCAAATTGATTTTCTTCCGGTTGCGTCGCTATTTTTTGTATTGATTCAAATTGTATTGTATTTCTACTGTCGTCATTTTCTTTCGGCTTCCAGAAATAGTACTGAAGTGCACAAGTAATTGATATGTATGGTTTAGATGTCATTTTCATTAATCTTATACAATATTAAAAGAGAGAAATAAATATTGCAGAAAACAATGATTTCTTTATTAGCTCAATCATATGATATGATGAAAAACAAGTCGGAAAATGTCTATTTTTTGTGCTTATGATTTTTTTTATAATCTTGGATTCTTGTAGTAGTATCACTATTGAATACTTTATTGTCAGTAAATCTAAACATAATAATTCAGATAATGATTTTCGTTAAGGAGAAAATGTTTTTTTTTGGTTAGAAAAGATTATTTTTAATAGTATAAGTATCCATTTTTTTGTCTGTCTGTCAATTGTAATGAAAAAAACCTAGATTAATCCCTTTATTTGTTTTTTTTTTGTAAGATTTCTATCAAATATTTTATCTTTACTATTTATAATTTGTTCGTTTTAAAAAAGAAGAATTTCAAATAAAACAAAAAATATTTGTTTACTTCTATTTTACTATACTATGAAACACTTTTTATAATGATATGAATTTATATAATTATAAATCGAAATAAATATCTTTTTAATGCTATATTTTGTATTCTATTTCAATTTACACATGGATTTATGAACAAAATATATGATTGAACAATATTAAGGTGAGGAATCACTGTTGAAAAATAACAAACTTATCTTAAATAGATTTCATTTGAAATAATAGAACTAATGTAAATTGAAATTTTATAAATATGTTGAAACATAGTGTCTGTATTAATCCAATAAAATAATATAAGTATCTGTATAATCTTCTGATAATAAAGTCTCTAATAAATGTTTTCGAAAAGTTGTCGATAAACACACTACTATTTATTAGTTATCAACACAGAAACTGCTTTTCCTCTAGTGACCATGGTATCTCTGTTGACCATATTGCCTTCATTCTAACACAAGTTGTTTCTGTCGAATGACAACAATATTATATTTGTATTTTGTAACTACTTGAAGTTCTATTTATACTTTTAATCATTTTAATTAATCCAGTGGAACAATATTTGCGTACATGTTGCCTTTTTTCTTTTTCTTTCTTTATTATTCTCGTAATAAACTACAGGAACAAAGTTAAGTATGGTGAAAACACATATAGGGTAGTACTTGACAGTTCCGCTTATTTCTTCTTCTGTTTTTTTTTGTTCTAACATGTTTGCCAAGTAATTTGAAAGTGAGTTGAGGTGTAATGTGCATATGTAGATTTTCTCGCAGTTTCATTGTCAGTCAATAAGTAGTAGGCAATTATGGTGAAAATTATGGTTGTCTATAGCCGATATGTGTATATTTAACGACGGAAAAAAGAGACCAAAAGCATGAAAAAGAGAAAGACAATTAACTCGATTCAAGCAGTCGTGTAGGGTATTGTGTCGATTTATAGAATAGAAAAAGAAAAAGAAATTATTAGTTAATAAGAACCTTTACTTAAATAGATATCTAACTATCTGATCAATTGAGACCAAGACAGAAGACTATAAATGATTCCTATCTGTTACCAATCTTTCATTTATATTGTAACAGGCTTTATTGATTAATTAATATTTGGTAAGTCTACTTTTTCTTTTGTATATTAAGTATATTTTAAGCAAAAATTGGTAACCAGTAGTTTTGCTCCCAAAGGTTTCTTAAGCGTTTCATCTCTTATATAAAAATCATTCGATTGAGAAGAATAGGCTGTAAAAATGAAAGCATTACTCACGTGGGACTCTTATACAGAACACAATAACGTTAAATAGGTTTGCCAAAGAAAAAGTAGTATAAGACTTAGCGTTTAAGTCTCCATGGATGTTCTAAAAAAACGTAATATCGTCATTGTTGTTGTTGTTGTTGTTGTTGTTGTTATTGTTGTTAATATCATTATTGTCGAAATTTGATAATAATGAAAGTATGACAAACATTCTTTGGAAGTTATTTTATTATTTATATGTTTCATTAACTTCACCAATGACATAATTAAAATCCAAGAATGTATAGGCAACCCGTTACCATTCACAGACAACTATTCTAATTGATTACTAATGATTATAATATTGTATTGCCATATAATATTTGAATTAATAGCTTTTCTATCTTGTTCTATTTCTAGAATAATTAACTATGATAGATACACTAGTTTATTACGGATATTTTACTTTTGGTCTTTACTCTCTTATTCTTATACTTGCTGGTACCCCATTAAATCTTCTTTGTTTTTATATATTCAAACGGCATTTACCTAATCGTTCAAATCCAACCATCATAGTTTTTTCATATTTAGCTCTTGTTGAACTTCTCATTCCGTTTACTTGGAACTTAAATTATGTTATCAGAGAACTTATCTGGAAACGGCAAAAAAATGTTGCAATTAAAAACCTTGAACAACATTCAATGTTAATTTGTAAATTAATATCTTACGGAGCTTACTTTTCACTTGAATGTGGCGCATGGCTGAAGACATTAGCATCATTTACACGTTGTGTCTCATTACATCATAATTGGCCTATAAAAAAATATATATCAAAGCCACATATTATGCATCGTATTTGTTGGATAACTATTTTTCTTATGGCTCTTATCAATTCGCCTACATGGATTGTAAATGGTAAATATATAGCTTCTGTTGATAAATTTAATCAGACGAAAACACAAGTGGCATGCTATCGATCTACATTCTTTCAATTTTGGGAAATAGCTCATTTATTATTATATAATTTTATTCCATTTGGATTAATGATTTTATGTAATATATATATAATCCGTCACGTTGATGAATCTCGGCGACGTACACGAAAGTCAAAAATGCCAAAAAGTTCTCTAGCAAAACAATCATCCGCAAATTATTCAAATCGCAATTCAATAACAAATGATGGTAGCCGTTTAACTAAAACATTAGTATTGATAGCGGTATTTTTCATTGCATTTACATCACCTTCTGCCATATTTTACATTTTTTTGGGGAAAAGAGTCAAAATTCATCGAAATTTAATTACAATGGGATTAAGTAATTTAGCAACAACAAGTCATGTTTCATCATTTATTATTTATTGGTTAACTTCAACAGATTTTCGAGATGTTGCTATTGGTATTATTTGTTGTCGATCATCCAATCTTCATGGACAAACGACGGCAGATAAGCATAAAGAAAGAAATGTCTCGATAAGACCATCTTTACCATTATTACGTTTGCCAAGTTCAACTAATCAAGAAACATTAACATCAGTTCAAGCATCATAAATTTTACAGTGATATACCATACAAAGTATTTCTTTCTTTTCGATTGTATAAAACGAAGTAAAATAAAATCTATCAATATGATTATGTTTATTTTAAGGACAAGAAAATACAAATATATATATTTATAGGGAGACATACAGAGAGATATAGAGAATCATATTTTTACCCACAGACAACATTTAAACATGTGAAATTGGTGGTGATGATGGTACAATAAATGCATTTCCATTTTCAACCTGTTGTTTTAATTTTTGCTTTGTTATTGTTGGTACAAATAAGAAGTAAATACGTTCTCTTAAAGATTTTTCTGAATCAGAATAACGTATAAATACATAAATCATAACTATTGGTATTGGTAAAATTAAAGTCATATTGAAACACCAACCAAATACAATTGACCATGATGGATATAGGTAATTTCCATACATTAATTCATCGGAAGAGATTAATGAAAATATCATTAATAAAGTAACAATGAATGGACATAAAATTTTCCAAGTAAAACGAAAAAAATAATTCGGTTCAAAACCAAGATGTATTCGCATATCATTGGCAATATTATTAATTCCATAAACCTTTAAAAAGAAACTGGTCATCAGAAGAAGAAGAAAAAACACAGACGGAACTATTCTTACCCAACTGGCAGCAATTGCTTCCATCATGACAACAAGCATTAATGCTGGACCAGTTGAGAATTTATCCAAATATTGTACAACATAATTTCCACCTAATTAATAAAAAAAATAAAAAAATTTCGATAGATTTAATAATTTACCGTACGTAACTGTTGGCAAACAAGCAATAACAAGTACACAACACATAATGAACATGCCACATTTTCTATGACGCTTTAATAATACATATTCATCACTCAATGCTGTATACATAGCTTCTAAACCACCAAAATCACTATCGAGTCCTAGATTAATCACCATTAAGAAGAATATTATTGAAAAAAATGTTGGATATTTAAATGTTGCTAATATTTCTGGATAAGCTATAAATGATAGACTTGATCCTTGATCAACAACTGTCGCTACATTTTTGTTCAAGCGCCATGACATATGACCTAGGGCAGAAAAAACAACAAAACCAGCTAGAAAGCTTGCTGCAAAATTTGCTACAACAGCAATTAACGCATCATAATAACAATTATTTGTTGATATATTGTATGAACCATAAGTTGTTAAAACAGATAAACCAGAACCAAGCGTAAAAAATATTTGATTCGCTGCTGAATACCAGACTTTCAAATCTTTCAATCTTTCAAATGTTGGCTTTAAAAAATAAGTTATACCATTTAGTGAACCTTCTAAACTAAGACCTTGAATAAGTAATATTATTAAAACAATATAAGGTAATACAGCAGTGATATAAACAGCTTTGCCTAAGAATTATAGAAGAGAATATTTGTTTTTTCAAATTCATCAGTTTTCTTTTCTTTTTTTGCCTCTTTATTACCTGTACTTTTGACTCCGCGAAAAATGCACACATACATAAGAATGAATATTGATATAAGACATAAAAGTAAATCAGTTTTAATAGAACCTAAATCATTTAAACCTGTTGAACGGTTTATACCTAACATATAGATATCATAATATTCTTCAGCTGATGAAATTTTCGATTCATTTATATACGGTAATGATCCATTGGAATGAATATCTCCAAAAGTTTGATTATTTATTTCGTCTGGACGCAAACGTTCCGAACAAAGTCGTGTATTCCATGAATGAGAACATAAACTCCATGGCATAATTCTTCGAAATGACGCAAATAAATAAAAAACAGCATGTGCTGTAATGAAAAACAGAAGATAATATATCAGAATAATAAATACATCTATTTATTTATTCTTACCGATGATAGTTGTATAGAACAATGTAACAGCAGTAACGATTAAAAATGATGCTATACCAATACCTTTCATGGATGGTGCTATTCTACCCCATAATGTAATATTGCCGCAATGATAAAATTGACCAAGAAATAATTCAAGATAACTATCGAAAGCAAAATACAACGTTTTTTTTAAAGAAATATTACAATTGAGAAAATTCAGCTATTCTTAATATATGTATTTATCAATACAAAGTAATTAGATATTCTCAGTTCTAATCGAATAGTTGAGAAAAAATTGTTCATACTTACAGCATCGGAATTCCAAGAATACATAGAAAGATCATGTACGGAATTAAAAATGCACCACCACCATTCTTATAGCATGTATACGGAAATCGCCAAACATTACCTGTCAATTGAACAATGAACGATTATATGTTATTTAGTTTTTCTATTATACGCTGTACTTACCAAGATCAACTACGTAACCAATAACTGATAAAAGAAATTCAATTTTATTTGTCCATAGGTCTCGTGGTATTGAAGACGATTGTTGAGTTAATAGTGCTGATGAGGATTTCTTGACTACAACCAATTGTTCTGTAGTGCCTGTTCGACGACTAATACTATCTATATCATCTGTTATAGCTGCCAGCTTTCTCATTTCTGAATCTTTCAGCATATCTTCATGCACATCTATGTATAAAATATATACATATAGATATAGTCACGTTCTGCTATTGAATTGGACTTTTAGAAAAAAAAATGATTATCCTAATGTATGCGTACTTTCTTGAATGTTAACTTCAGTCCGGATTTTTTCATCGTCATGAATATTTGTTGCCATTGTTTTGAAGAATATTGCAATGAAATCCTGAAATGATACGTCTAATGCTCTGCACGCATACTCTGAAGTGAACCTATTTAGCGTGTTTGCTAGTTGCTATCTTTTCCTTTCTTTCTTTCTTATTGATCCTTTTTTTAACGTCTCACGAGAGTATAAAATTAAAATGCGTATCTTATGTATCTTGATTATGATGAAGACAACAACAAGAACAATACAAAACGAGAAGAATAACTTTTGTTAATCTACTATTTATATTAAACTGAAATCTTCCATCATCTATGATTTACTTGTAAACTGATATTAATGATGTCTAATGAGCACACAATGGTCTTCCTCACTTCTGTTCAATTAGAATAAATTTCAATCTACGCAATTATTATAATTCATCTCCATAGTTTTATTTTTCACATAGTTTATTTCGAAGCATCCAAATGTTCATTTTTAGGAAAGAATCTTTTGTTTATCATCCATACATGACAGACAATGCTTTCAAGTAATATCAGGACGTCATTGGGGATTGATATAAAAAGCAAGATTAGATATTGTCGCTTGATATATATATCATAAAAGAATGGTTTTAGGAAATATTGAGAAGTTATATTTGTTCAAGAGGAATCAAGGTCTTATGGAGTTATTTTTTCATGCATATAAGTGGGTACAAATAACTCCCAGAACATTATTTGGATTCGAGCAAAATCGTATGATTTTGATGTGATAAATTTCATTTTAAAAATATAAGGAAAAAGTGAACTATGTAGTATGTGCTTTATCAGTTTTTCTGATAAACAAAAATGAAAAAAATATTATTATTTATTGTTGAATAGACGAAATATTTCAAGTTCAAATAAAATTAATCATCACGACGAGTTTTTGCGGTCATATTAATCATCTTTAATAGGTATCTACCCTCGAATGTTCATTCTACTTTGAACGATACGTTTTTAAACAAATAAAAAAGCAATCATCTAATCTTTAAACGTTTTTCTTTATTCAATCTCAGTCGATTGTAGTACTTTTTTATTGCTAAATATAGATATTAGTAGTATCTGACAAAATGAATGTTCTTGCATCGAAAGAATCAATGTACATATCTATACTTCTTCTTCAAACAATATGTATTGGTATTATTTAGTAATAGATGTCAAAAATTCATTCAAATCTTTGACTTCGTAGAGAACTTATGTCTGATTGTATTATTTTTTGTCATGTAAATATAGATCGCATTGTCTTGAATCTTTAGTAGTCTAAATGTTTGAATAATAGTTTCTGCTAAACGTTTATTTAATACGATGATGTAATACGAGTGAGTTATAGAATTTATAAAAGTAGTAGTCATTTGAATAGGAAAAAGAGCATGATTATCAGCTGATTCAAAGTAATCTATTTATACAGACTTTTAATATTCAAACTTTTTGTCTCTTCTGATGATCAACGAGACGAATTATGATGATATTTTTCGTACAATATTGAGTAGCACTTGTTTTATGTAACATAATATATATATATATATAGTTGTTTTCTTGCCTTTTATTCTAGAGTTCGAAGAAAAAAGTGGAACTCTTAGAACTTAATTTTTGCTAAGGGGCAAATTCAACATCTATTACTTACATCTCTATTTTTAAACAACAGAACATACGAAATCGAAAGAAGCAAAAGAATCATATTTTTGCTGTTTTCACTTTTACTCCTAATAAGTCGCTTGACCTCTAAAATAATTTAATGCTTAACGTTTTTATTTTTTCATTAGCTTAGCTATTGCTAAATATCATAGAATCATGAATTTGACTAGTGTTGTGCTTGGAATCGATTTATATATATATATATATATTTCTCCTTCCAAACAATCCGTTATTGACACAACGATATTGACATATAGAGACAATATTTTGAAAAAATAGTGAACGCAGTTAAAAATTACTACGACCACCATGTTGGTGTTTTTCTTCTCTCTTTCCGTCCGTTCTTCTTCAAACAACAATTGCAGCCACTATCGGCATTTTACCAATGCATACATTAAATTTTTGTGCTTCACGCACATACACATTTTTTTTTCTTCCTCAACGAATACTTGTTTGTGGTAAGCGCGTGATCATGATGATGATGAAAAAACCCTACTTATACTTGTATATATGTATATATATATATATATATACTTATGAATTTTTACCTTTTTTTACTCTCACGAACTCATGAAAAAACCTTTTTGGATAATAGTCTTTTAGATTTTTCTCAAATCAAAAAATGAATGATATTTATCAACAACCTTTTGTAGTTCATGACGCATCAAATATTATCAATGAAACAATTGAATCAACTCTCGAACATCAATTGTATCAAAAAACAAAAGTTAATTTATGGACATCCAATATAGTCGAAACTATAATTAGTGCACTGACAAAAGCAAATAAGTCTTTTAAATATATTGCATCATGCGTAATTATGGAAAAAAATGGTGCTGGTTTGCATACAGCAACTTCATGTTTTTGGGACAATACAAATGATAAATCATTTACTATTCGGTAAGAATTTTAGAAAATTTGAAAAATAAATCTCATTCATTCTATTTTTTGTATTTAGTTGGGAAAATACCACCATGTATGTTATTGTCACCGTTTATGGATTATCGATTTGAATTCTTTTTCTTTTTTTCTATTTTTTCCAATCAAAGAATAAATATATAATAACATTTTATTCAAAATTTATTTTATTTTATAAAAGAAAAAACAGATTGATGCACAGAAAATAAGAAACCATTGAATACGATTCATAAATTTTATTTTAAAATTTATCGTACGAAAATTCTTTGACATTTTTTTGGAATTTAATGGATGATAGGATGTATATATTGAATATACTTTATACTATTGATAAATAAATCAATTGTCGAAGTATTACTTTTTCTTAGATGTAAGCACAAATTATCTGATTTGAAATAAAGGATTATGCTTATAAGTATTTCATAGTCATATACATTGATTAAACTCGTTTTTGTTTCATTAATTGACTTTATTCTATCGCCGTAGTTGTTATTAGAAATTTCATTTCGAGAAAGAGATGAAAGATTTAACAGAATATTTGTATTTGAACAAGAATATGAAACATAATTTAAAGTAAAGGGTATTAATGTGTTGTTGATTGATTCTAAATTTTTGAAATATGATTTGTATGATGAACTTCATTGATTAATAATGCTTGTATTTGTTTATCATCTATTTTCTAAATACAGAAATAAATAACGATAATAAATACATAGAACTTTTTGAAATGAAAGTTATGTTTTCTATTTATCTAGTTAATCTCGTGATTTGGTTAATTAAAATAAATAATCATTTTTCAGTTCATATTTTAGACATTCAAAGAGAATATGTAAACAAAAAGATTGTAGTACAGGAATTTTTGTATAGAATTAAGGTAACTCTATTGCATATTTATTTATAGGATAAGTTATGAATAGGAAAAAGAATGAAGATAAGAATTAGAATTTGAAATATGGTCGATAGGCAAGTTTTGTAGTCTTCAGAATATCTTAGCTACTTAACAGAAAATAATATCGAAGATAATATAGTACGAATTATTGAAAGTTTTGATTTCCACTGCACACAGTAATATCCCATATTTCGAATAACTACAAGTTAGTGTAGTCTAAGTGCAATCGGAAAACTTAATTTTAGATATTTTCCATTCGGATCCAACTTCAGAATCAGCTGGATGCATATGAAACGTTTCTTTCGCTGATAGTTGGTACTTTTGGTATACATGATCAAATCAAAAATTCATCTATTTATTATTTATTTTCGAAAAATACTGAAACTCAAGTTGATCTGTAACTGAAAAGTTCCATTTTAGTAGGTAGTTGATTCGATTTAGATTTATTCAGATTCGAAAATCGTATAAATCTCTCATCCATTATCATGGTACTATCCATTTCATTCTTAATTGACTTTGATAACTTAGAAGAAGAAGAAGAAGAAGAGAAAGAAAAATATTTACATGTTCTTGAGCATCATCAAACATTCTATCAATATTCATACTTGAATTAAATCCACCATCTTTTAAACTAGTTAAGTTACTAAAATTATGATAATTTCCATTATAAGATCCATTTGCCATTGTTTCATCATAACTCTGTATACTTAACAAAAGTGGATTATACATGATTGTTTTTGATGAACATTTTGGTTGCTCAAATTGAATACTTCCATCGATGTTAACAGTTTGTTCTTGATTTTTTTCAATTTTATCCATTGTATCACCTATTGTTATTGAATGAACAACTTCAAAGACCGATGAAGATGTTTGAGTATTTCTATGATCAATGCCGTTAGCCGTTCGTCTTAAATCTTTTTCATTAAGAAATATGCGTTGAAAATCCGTCAAATTTGTTTTATCAATTGGTACACTAGTTATTGATGACTATAAAATAGTTATCGATTTTTTTCTTTGAAGAAAATATCTATGAACAACACAAGCCTTACGATTTCATCGAGTGAATTTGATAATAATAGTTCGGGTTGCATACGTCTATAATATTGATCATTTCCACGTTGCCGTTGTGTTGCACGAACAGCAGCTAACCAGACGAGACGATGAATTTGTAAAACTTGTAATTCACTATTGACAATTAAATTATAATCCGGAATAAAGATTGATGAAATTTCATCGAGTAAATTTGTTTTATTATCGTTGCTGGAATCGATTGTAAATAGATCATCAAGAAAGTGATGAACATCTTTTACAGTTTTATTTTCAGCTAATAATGCTGTTGCAGCAAAACAACAAAATGGTCCAACTGTTGACATAATATGTTCAACACCAGATTCTAATGTTGCATTGCCTTGCATAACTAATGTAAACAATTCATAACGAAAACCTTTCTTATATAAATAAATTGAATGTGATTTTTGATTAGTTTGACTTTTGATCATGGCATATACATTATAATTGAGAAGAACTTTTAAAATTTCATGAGAAATAAAACCGGATGTAAATTGTTGAACATCTAAATGAAACATCATACAATCTGTACTTTTACAGCTTTTCGTAACTTTGTTATGAAATAGATCTTCTATGAGTGAATAGATATGTGCTAATTATGCATCTGAATTGATCTAACCCATAAAGCCTTAAAATATGAAATAATTTAAAAATGAGTCATATTTACTTGTACTTAAAAATTGAAAGACAGCAACTTTTAATTGAGGACTTATTGATGGACCTAAAAAGAAAATGCAAATGCTTGATAGAACTGTTTTAAGAGGAAAAATATGAAATAGCTGAAAAAATGATGTTTTAACTTTTATTGAATGTATTGAATTCGATATGCTGACTGAAAATGACGAATATGTATTATTTCGAGTGGAAGTGCCTGAATATGAATATGATGTAATTAGGTTTTCTTCTTTTTTTATGTTAAGAAAAAAGAACTGGTTGAAATTGAAATACTCATCATCTATAGGAAAATTCTAAAATTATGAAATGTAATCAGGTACATGGAATCTCTTATTGTGAGAATGACTGAATTCTCTATCCTCTACTCATTACCGTTAGTACTCTGCAGTTACATGCTTGTGTTGCTTGAGATTTCAATTTAGTCAATTTTTACAAGAGAAACATTTTTAACTAATGAAACATAGAAGTTATTGGTTTGAAGTGTATTGAAAAACGACTCAATACGATAGAACCGTTAGAATGCGATGAGAATAAAAATTTTGTTGATTTTCTCTAGTTTATACTAAAGCAAAGGCTACTCGCAGTAGAAAACTCCATGTTTACATCAATATTTCATTGTACAAGATGGAATAGAAAATTTATTTTATATTTCTAAAAATCTAAAATAAAGAAAAACTATTGAACTAAAACCTTTTACTGGTCGTTTGACCAATGCTGTATAATCCATTGTTTTTGCTCTTTTACGTTGAATTTTACGACGATTATCAGCTAAAAATACACAAATATTTTTCTAATATGACGGATCTGTACTTTTTGTGTAGTATTCACTAAAGAAGTCAGCTTCTTCAATAATTTCTCTTTGAAGCATTTCTTCAATAACATCTTCTAGTGTAATAACACCAACAGTTACATATACTGGATCTACATTATCTTCTTCATTGCGTAATTCTTGTACAAGAGCAATATGCCATCGTGCTAAAACAGAACGAAATGAAAATAAAAATTATTGATATTTAGATGTTTTACATTTAAGAAATTCTTGCATTAAATTGTATAATGAATCTGTTGTTTTGGTATAACCATATGGATCTAGTTTATGATTTTAGTTACGATTAATAGTTAATATATAAATTACATACGAGTATGAAATTCCATTAGCTGTTTAACAGTTAATTGATATTGTTCAGGAGTAATCAAAGCAAAATCTCGTAATTTAACAATTCCAATAACATTTGATCTAGAAAAATATGAATTGAAATTCTTTCCTTGTATAGAAGTCTCATGCTAACTTTTCACTTGAATAAACTGGTATACGTGAAAAACCATGTTTATGAACTTCCATTAATAGTTCAGCATCTGTTTTACGATTTTTTTCAAGCATAACTACATCAGGCAACCATGTCATAGCATCTTTGACAGTTTTCTTACGTAATGAAAGTACACCTATATAAAAAAAAACTAGTACGAGTAATAAATAACGTGAAATAAGTATAGCTATCAATTTAAAATATAAGCATCATGATGGAAAATCAATTCTATCACAGTGAATACACTTGATAATCTTAAAGTAGTATTGAGACTTTTAGATAAGAAAAAAATTAAAGATTAGAGTTTATGATTAACAACAGAATCTAAAAGTTATAGATAGATCAAGAAAATTTCCTTAAGTTGGTAGATTAAATCGATAGAAAAAATAGTAGAATCGACTGAAAAAATTGACGACACACCGAAACGAAAGTCACCATGTATGATAGTTAGTAATTCATACAAAATATTATCACTCGTAATTTTCTATGAATAATTCTCTCAAGTATTTGAATGAAATAATATAAGATTCCAATTCATAAATGGATTTTTATTCATATACGAACTGTTTACATACTTGATAGATTTTGTCAATGTGATGAATTACGTCTAACGATACAGACGATAGATCTTTGTTTGAATCTTCTGAACGATTTTTTCAATTAATTCAAAATTTATATCCATTTATAATAAGAATGACAACTCCTATCGGCTGCATAGATCATTCTCTACATATACTGTTAAAAATATGATGAATACATTCTATTTATGTTTATTCTCTTGAAAAACTTATACTTTAATAAAATTAAATGTCTTACTCATTACTGACCGTAAGTTACGCTACTGGGCTTATTCGTTGAATATTAAAGGGGAATTAATTTAAATGACATATCCTGAATTTTATAAATCATTTCAAATCAATGTTCATCTCTAATACCTGTAATAACATCAAGTTCTGGCTTTTCAATATCTGCATTGGCTCGTGTTAACAGGACAGTTATTTGATCACGCGTATAAGAAGCCGTGACTTCTTGTCCGAGAATTTTATCAAGAATAAAACCTAACGGATATGAAATAATTCCAGTTATAATCATCGATATCCATGTTATAACATGTGTATGTGCACCAATAAATAATCCATAACGAGAACAAATAGCTTGAGGAATGATTTCACCCATTAATACAATCATTATTGTTGAAAGAATAACAGTCAATAGACCATGGACAAGTGAATCGAGCAAGACAGTACCTAATGAATTAACCAAAACATTTGCTAAGACAATAGAACATAATAAATAATTGCCACGTTTTCTTAATGGTAAAACTCGTCGAGCATAATAACGAAGTGAAGCATCTTCTGATTCAGCTATTAAACACAAATCATTTACACTTAATGACATTAAACCTAAATTTAGACCGCTGAAGAAACAAAAACGAGAGAACATTTTTATTTTTTTAGTAAAAACGCAGAAAATGTTGTTTTCTTTATACCTGAAGAAACCTGACACAATAAACAACATAAGAATTAAACATATTTTAGCTGCAAATGGCAATCGACTTTTTTCTCTTAAAAACGTAAAATAAGCACCTGCAAATTGTGTTCCATTATACGATTCTGTATTATTATTTAACAAAGATAACGATATATCCGATGGCGATAACAGACAAATATATGCAAGTGGACGAGTTTTTGATAAACTTTGAAGTTCAATATTTAACTCAATAATTGATGATGATGATGAGAGAGAATAAACTGGTGATATAAAATGACTCGACGTGCATTTATTAAGTGATGCTGAAAATACAAGCGAACTATTTTGAAGGTTAATACCACTTATATAGAGACGTAATTTCTTTTCATCATTTAGTAACCAACCGTAATTTGGATCAAATTTTATAATTGTTTCCAAATTAGATGAAAAAACAAGAAAATTATTTATTAATGGAACAGGATTTGATAGAATCAAAGGAGATAGTGTTGTCGTTGTGGTGGTGGCGGTTGTAGATGATATGTTAAGAAGATTTAAAATAAAATACAGGCATATAAAAATATTATACATGATCTGAAATAAAACACAAGAAAATTTTCCTTACTCTTTCTCTGTGTTTTCTGTTCAACCTATAGTTTTAAGTATAAATATCAATCAATCAATTTATATATATATAAAGTGGAATAATATGTGGATCGAACAATCTTTATTCAATGTAGCCATAAGAGGGCGCTTGCTTTTTAAAAGTGAAATGAAAACATCATTTTTCTCTTGAAACTCAATGACTTAGTTACTTTATCATTCTCGTGATGATGAAAGATGAGCGAGCAATGGATCCGATTTCTTTTATTGCTTCAACTAAATCAAATCTGTAATAGACGTCATGTGATGCTAAGAGTTCATTTAGATGCCACGTGAATGAAATAATGTTAATGCACATAAAAATGTATAACTTAAGGTTAGGTGAAAATTTCTTTGTGAATATTTCTACGAATTATTTATTAACCATGTTCCAAAATCGGAATCAAAAAAATTAACTCCATAGTTTTTCAAATTTTATACATAATCATCGTAAATGTATAAACTATCCGACGAACTTCATCCAGATCACTATTTTCCTTGATTTCCATCTAAATGAAACTTCTTTTCAAAATTCAAGATATCTATTCAATTAACATTACTTCTTCAAAATCTGATGATTCCCATATCGCGCAAAACCGATCGAAAATCACCGGTTAACCGCGGTTATGTAAGCTATTTTAGCGACTTTACAGCGTAAAAACCGACGGTTAACCGGATAAGTAACCGGTTAATTGAGGGCAAACCGACTACTTGTCCGGTTAGCCGGGCGCTTAACCACGGTTAACCATCGGTTTGTACACTATAAAGTCGCTAAAATAGCTTACATAACCGCGGCTAACCGGAATTTCTCGATCGGTTTGTTCGACATGGATCTTCCAATTGTTTCGTTCTTTTTTGTTTTAATAAAAAGTTTTTGCTTCTATTGATCATTTCAATTATATAGTGGAATAGATGATTTTAAATTTTGACCATCAAATAAATGTATTTATTAGTTTTTGTTCTTCCTGGAACCACAATAATCTAAATTTCATTTCTTCAAAATTATTGTTTTGACTTTTAAAATTTTTTATTGTGCTTACATTTGTACGTAGTTCATTAAGAAAAAAAGTCAACTGTACTGCGAGAAGCATTGTCAAGTCAATTGAAAATTTCATGTAAAATATCTAAACAAAGAGATTTAGAAGAAATAAATATTACATAGAAATGCCTTGTTGCTTGATTAAATTTCTAATTGTATCAATATGCTGATAAACTAATGGTGATAAAAAGAATTCTATTACTCAATGTCGAACATCTAGTCTGAATCCTAAAGAAAAGAAAAAAGGAAAAATAGAAATCGAAAAATTATCTAAAATATACGTGAATATCATGCCGTTTGAATAATGGTTTCCAAAATGGTCTTTTTAACCTAAGCGCGCTACTATGAACGAGATAACACGTTGATAATTATGCCACGTTAGCTCACGCGTTAGGCTCACTTCCTACGGCCTTTTACTGGAATATAACTGGTCTATCATGCTTCTGTAAAAATATAATGGATATAATGGAGGAGAAAAGAATAAATATCTACACAAGCGAAAATTTCACGCGCGCTGTAGTGTTATCTCTAGCGCCCGTCGGGTTCAAGAATTTTTGAACCCGGATCCGGACCCCGTCAATCAGAATTTTTGGATCCGGACCCGGCCAATCAGAACTTTCAGACCCAGGGCCGAACCCACCCGATTAAAAATTTCATATCCGAGCCCGGACCTGGTACATCAAAAATGTTTGGACGCATAGTCGTGGTGATACTATAACTTTGAAATTACTCTGATGAAATTATTCAATTTAAAGTAGCGTACCTCAACTTTAATCTTTGAATTTAAATTTCAAGCTAAGACAAGCTTACCTGAAATTTTAATTTTCTAAAAAGTCAAAATGTAGAGTATATTTTTCAGAAAAAAATTGCAACAAATCTTCCTTTTGTTAAAATTTGTTTTTAATGAGAAAAATAGTTCTAAACAAAAAAAAACATTTTGATGAAAAAATTTATTTGAACTATAACTCTTTGGACAGTAAATTTTAAACATGCTTTTTTTACTTGAAAATAAAGTTAAACTGGCATTCTTAACAAATACCTGGTTTATTAATCAAAAATAGATCTGGAATGAAAAGTGCTCTTAAACTTGTAATCAAATTTTGTCGAGCTCACATATATTTTCGAAGGAAATGGTGATTGAAAGTTTAAAAGCGAGATTTTTACGGCTCCCCACTCTCAACCCTTCCCATTACAGACCTCACCCGCCATTGTTGGTAACCACGATGCATTACAAATATTAGCAAGCATGTAACAACTAAATAAGACATTTTTTCTACGGATCGATTGTCTTGCAGTACATTTCACATTTTACGTATTGTGTATTAGTAGAATTAGACGAAAATCATATGTGAGTTCCACATTTTAGTCCCAAAGGGGCTGCGATAACAAACTTTTCTAATAGAATCTGGTGATCACTCCGAAGATACAACATATCTCTTTCCTTTTGTGCTAGACAAGTAGTACATTTTACATGTTCTTTCAACTATCCGATAGAGATTTTTAAATTGTTTTCTATCCTCATCTTTCTTATGTTTTCTTTTTCAACGATCAGATGTTACGTCTTTTCAATTTTTCTCATCTATATTGATACATCATCATAGTAAACGATTTGGCCACATTTGGATTTCTTTTCAGATATAAATATTGATCATCGTCACATAATAAAATTCATTTATTCACTATTAAGTGTCTTCGACAAATAGAAAAAGGTAAAAAAATCTGTTGAAATATGAGTATCCTCTTCTTATCGAAAAAAATCCTTCAAGGCATCCTAAATTATGATTTCAATCGATTATATTAGTTTAAAGAAAACGTTTCTTCCGAGAATGCTGTTGTAAATTTTATCATGCTGATGTCCATAGTGCGTAAAAAAGAAAAAGACGTGCGAACTAAATACATAAGAACCAAGATTATAGAATAGTACACAATACGTTATCAACTAGCCCAGAATCTGCCATTTAAAACCGAACTGAAATTGAGACAATAGATGTACTAATTTAATTTTTATACAATAAAGAAACAAAATTTTTATTTAAAAGTAATTGAAATACATACAAGGCTAGATAAAGAAGCAGTGAAAATCTGTTTTTGTGAAAGAATTCATAACGAAGAGGACGTTAATAAGTCACATAATCAATCAATAGAACAAATTAACAAGCGTATTGTCGTATAAGTCATATTCTTCGGTATATCCTTATCTCATACAAGAAATTTTTACTGTTAACTTATCTAAATGTATAGTTTTTAAAGATAATGATTTTATTTAGATATGTTTATCCTTTATTTTAAGAACTATAGAGACAAGTAAGACATATGTATAAAGTAAATTTGAAGAAATTTTGTTTTAATGAATAGTATTTTGTGGAAGTCGGGCATATTTACGAATTGAGGTTTCTTTATCTCACACTCCCTCTACATCACATGGATTAGCGACCAGGATTAAAACTGCTGAATTTACAAATATTGTAAATAACTCGTATTCTATTTTTTCGCACAGATTAACCATTCTATGACAGATATCAAGGATGATGTTTTGATTTCTCATACCTGTAATATGACTACAACAAAAGCATAACCGCATTTAGTTCTAACTCTCGGAACAATCCATTTCAGTCTTGCTCGATTCATTAAGATATGTTGTAGACGATAAAGATCTTCTACAGATATAACGAGTACATGTATATCAGGTTGATTAACCCATTTAGTTAATGTTTAAGCCAAAGGAGAAAAGCAGAAATTTTGATAGTAAAGTTTACCTTAATAGCGAATGACTGTTGATAGTTGCCTTCGGTTTTGTTTTCATCACCATACAATAGATTCAGGTCATTTCCGATGATACTGAAGCTCTTCGTCCTTAAATAAATTGACCATAACTTTTGTTGCTAAATATCGTTCGGTTTTGAAGTAAAAAAATCTCTGAAAAATAGGATTTATACGGTCGGGTATATCTTCAAGAAGCAAACCTGACAATTATTGAAAACCTCACTATAGTTTTCCTATCACAAGTTACAGATAAAATTCATATCAAGATGCCATTTTTCTGCTATGTCCAATCGGTTAACAATAACTCTAAAATTAAGGTATAATGTAAGCCTTCCATCATCATAATGTCTAGATTTTACTATTTTAGATGAAACCATATGCTCTTTTTATATTTACTTGTATAGTACATTCTCTCATTTTGAATCCAAAAGTGTTCTTATAGAAAAAATGTTATTGAAGTCAATTCATTTTAATTATTAACGAATCATTCAACTACTCATTTGATTTATTAATGAGTGTTAGGGTTACGATAAATGAAATTCTCATATGAACGCTATCATTAAATTCATTCAAGTTTGTAAGAATGGTAATTAAAATCTGTTTGTGGAACTCACGTATGATCTGTATCTGTAGCCTAATTCTACTAATACATAACAGATAAATTCAAAGTCTGTCGCGCATTTTAGTTGCTTTCCTAGACAATTGATCGGTAGAAAAAAATGTCTTATTTAGTTTTTTTCTTTGGTTACTAAACTTTTGTTCACTATTTTCTTCGAAAATGCACGTGCGTTCAACAAAAGTATCGTGACGCTCTCATATTTTCGAAGAAGATAAAGATTTCCAGCTTTTAGTCGAAGGTTTTCGACTCTCCTCCTCCTCTCCTACGTACCAAAATCATCAACCGAGGACGACTACATCAGATCCCTTTCCAAAAGCTTTCGAACGTCGGGAAAAGAGAGCTAACGGCATCAAAGACAAGAGTTAGAGAATTTTTGAAAAAGAAAAATAACGCTTGAATAGCAACAAGTCAAACTGAAAATACTTGGCGTTCCAAAATATTTTTACACTTTTTATTTTGCAAATATCTCGGCATGGGTAAATGGTAAAAGTTTGATTTTTTACAAGATGTACCGTCGAGAGCTCTACAAAATCTACGTAACAAAATATCCATTGACCTGCTTTTATGAGTTTTTTTCTAATTGGTTAAAAGTAACGAACTACGTACTTTTACTATTTCGAACCGCGTCGAGTATAAAAGAAATGTGGCAAACGCTGTTAAAAATTCCTTTTTTTTAAATTTCAAAACGAAATTTCAGAACAAGATAATAGAACGTCCAAAAGCTATAATGATACATCTATCACGTAGATCTGCGCGTTTAACCATTTTCAAAATTTAAGCCAAACTTTATTTCCTTCTTCCTTTTTATTGGAAAACACACTATAAAACTAAACCTAAACGTCTCGACATATATTTAAATAGAACAGCAAAGAGAATAGAAGAAACAAACGAGAGAAAAAATAAGTATGGACAACAATATGATCTAGTCTTGTCAACACAGATTATAGAAACTATCTAATACAAAATTATAGAAGAGGGTCAGTAGAGATCTTGTAGAACTTTCGACGGTGCATCCTTTAACTGAAAAAAAAATCAAGATTTTATCATTTACCCATATCAAGATATACGCAAAATAAAAAGTGTGCAAACATTTTGATGTATCTGGTGAAGGGCTGTTAATAAAAGAAATACATTTTTATTCTAAATACAAAAAATAACAAGATGAATCATTTGTCTGACGATTGATTACCATCATACACACCAGCTATAGTCTGTGAGGGACTTATCACTTGATGTACTGTCAGTTAGCATAATGAGACTTAAGATGATAATAGGAGAGTTCCATATATCAGTTCCGTAGGAGCTGCACTAACAAACGCTTTTCCTCTTTATTATTTGTTAGAGCTCGCTACAAATATTAGGATATGAATGTTTTAGTAGGGTGTAAAACAAATACGACCGGAGATGCAACAAGTTGAACTGAAATTAGGAAAATATATGTTCGCATATCAGCTTTTCTCACAATTATAGGCATAAAACTTGCAAATCTATATAAAGATAAAAGTTTCTTGCACTTTATCGATCTGTTTCGGATCGGAGTTTGATACATGAAATACAAAACATTTAAATGTGTGAATGCCGAACAAATCAAATTAGACACTGAACAATGTTTTTTGTCAGCTATTGAATTTTTGAAACCTAAATAATAAACTCACATGCGTAATTCGCAACATTTGAATGTTTAGAAAGCTTCTTTTGGTGATGAAAAGTTACTTTATCTTCGTATCTTTTGAAAAGATGTCTTCTAGTTGAAACTGATTCTTAAATGTTTCAAATTAAATTATTCTCAATAAGTACTTTGACTTCTTCAGTCGGTAAAATACTAAAAGGTCGAATGAAAAATGTCGAAAATTATGAACCCCGGAAAATACTTGGTGAAAACCTTTTTCTAAGATTTGATCAATAGGATGTAATCCGGTACGCATGCATAAAGCACAACACTGAGAATGAGGGCGAAATTCGTGACTAAAAAGGATTTGAATTTTCGACAATTTGCTTTAGACCTTTTGTCTTTCGATCTTTAACTACCTATTTTTTCAGTCAAATAGGATTAACTGATATTTGTTTGTAATATAAATTCCACATATGAATGATAATTTGTCTGCTATTTCATTTATTTACTAGTCTGTCTTCTGCAATAATAGCACTTCCGATTCAGCAGCTACACAATCGCAGAATTCATCTTTTGTCTTCACCATCAAACATTATCTTCACAAGGTGAACAAGTGGCATTTTTTCAAGTTCAATAACGAATATGAGAAGAATCAAAATCATTTACTTCATACTTGTGCTGTTTAATCTGGCACGTTTTTTCATGTGTTCATTTGTAACATGTTTTGTTTAGTCACTTAATGTACATAGTTTGATTACATAATCTTATTATTATAATTTTTGTTTCTCACGAATTAATTCAATATAAGCAAATGTTATCTGCAATGAATATCAGCGCATGGTTCTAGATAAATATTGTTATTCATTTTTTCGAGAATTAAATCGTAATCAGTTCATATTTTTTGCGTTTGCCAAATTAATACATGTGTAGACATCATTCATTATATCTATCGTTTTAATCGTTCATCTATGCCAAAATTTAAAAAGACACTATATTTAGTACATTTTTAAATGTATTCCAATCCTTTTTAAATTTTTAACTAGGGCATTAGCATTCGCTATGGTAATCTAATTATTGTTGTCACTGCCGCTCAGTACCTTATCTCATTACTAGAAGACTATGAGAGAAACATCAGACGCCTGACATGCTCAATTGTTAGGATTAAATTTCGCCCGAATGATCTTTGATCCCAGTTTTCTGAAGTCTATAATGAAAGGAGGAGAGAATTAAAAACTTCAACTTGAAATCTATGTTTCGTTGTGATAATAGTAAATGTGTTTGAAAAAATATTTTTTATTTTGATTTAATTAACACTAAAGAAATGAATTCTAAACGAGATAATATAAAACGAGAATTATATATCAAATGAAAAATAAGAAGGATTTCTCATGAGAATAGAATGACAATATTAGAAAGAGTTGTAGGTATGCAATGTTACTAACAGAATACGAATGTTTAGTGACACCAAATGAAGTGAAGAGAAATTTATGTACAGCATCACCAATTAATTCATGAATTCGTGTTGTAAAATGATATTGGTCAATATAAACATATCGTTGTGGATTTGAACATAAAATACTGACATTACCATTTAATACATTCCAGCAATTGTCTTTTATATTCAAAGAATAATTCTTATGATTATCAGTAATTTTCAAAATAAATGAATAAATATCGAATAAATATAAAGCACTTTTTTTGCGATCATAATCAAGTTTTGCAATGTCAACCGAAAGATTATTATTATGAAAGATAGTGCGTTTTCTATAGTAAATAAATTCTTGATCTGTCTGAACAAATGGCATCACTTGAACAGGTAAATGATTCATAATAAGAATATGTTTAGCACCAATAGTGAGTAAATCTTTAACACCATTTAAAATGTTAGCAGCAACTACTGATGGACTAATTGTTTTATTGAAATAATAATCATTAGCGCCACCCCATATAACATAAAGTGTACGGACGAAATTCAAAGTAACTGTGTTAGTTTCTTTCACATAAATGTTTATCTGTTGACGAATACCAGGTACAGGCACTGTGTCAGATGCAGTATAGCCCTGTATGAAATCATTATCCGTTGTTGCACCGCCATGTGCATAATTTTTTATAATCGATATACCTAATTTCTCTATCCAAACAGGGCCATTTGAAAATCTACCTTCAAAATATGGTGGTACAATAGGCCATGTATGAGATGTTAAATTATAAACGTTGCCTGTATCAGTAAGTGAATCGCCAAAACTTACAATAGTGTCAAATGGGACATTCTGGGTTGTTGTCTGATGACTACATAAGAATATGAACAGAAAATACCGACAAATATACGGCCACATTTCATTGACATATGAAAAGTTGATTTCGATACTTGAGTTACTGAATCTTTCTACTCACTTTTTCTTATCAGTACAAGGACAAAAAACAAAGTCATAGAAAGGAAGCGATAAAAATAAAATAGTTGATCTTTAGCTCGAAAACAAATTCACCTTTTCAATTGTCGATCATGTGCATTCAAATCTATCCCAACAGCTAATGAATTCGTTAAATGCCTCACAAAGAAATCTACGAAAGACAAAACTGAAATGGTTTCCTTTTGATTGATTTCAAATAACTACAATTTGTTTTTTCATTATCTATCAAGTAAGATGAGGCATGTAAATCACTCTTCTGAATCAAATTTTAGTTGCTACTAAGAAGAATAAAAGTAAGAAAGCAAAACAGACGTTATTAAGGACAAAATCACGAAGGAGATAGAGTAAATAAATTATGGGGAATCAACTATTTTACATACTGAATATTGTATCGAATACTAGTTGAGAATTAATTCGAAGAGCATTCTTTACAATATTTTTATTTTTATTTGAAAAAAAGAAGGTTTTTTTGAGCGAGCATAACAATTTTATTTTGATAATAATATTTCTTTCGAGTATTCGTATAAATGATAATAATTTGAACAAGTGGTAAAAACATCAGACTATTTAAAAAAGCCTAAGTGTTTCTATTACTTATTATGGTGTTACGTTAGCTAATGACTCATCGTGGTCTTTTGAGAAAATAGAACATGCATATCAATCGCATACTTTAATTGCCATTAAAAAAGAGCGATTACCCACGGTAACATCTTGAGGGTGAAAATTTGGATGCTTATTCTTGAACTTCTATTATTGAATTATATGATACCTTTCTAAAACATTCATTTACTTCTTAACATATCACATAAGGATTCTCGTGAAAAAATTCATATGAATAAAAATTGTTCAGCCTCTTTATTGATGATACGAAATGTTGAAAATTGTCCATAGGGTAAAAACAAGCAGATCTTTATAGTCTCCTATGGTCAGATTATATGTACTCTTTTTGACTACTACTGAATACACACGAGTTTGAGTTTCTTACAAGCAAACTTCGTTGGTAATATAACTAGAGGCAAAATTTTAAATCAGAAGTATCCACTGATTTCCATTATGGCACCTATCGACATTAGTATGAGATATGGAAACAAGATTAACTTGATAAATTTACTGTATTTTGAGAAACATCAATCAAAGTAAATAGATCAGTTTATGGTGTGCTCAATCTGATCAAAATCTTTTCATGCATGTCGGAAACATTGGACATGGCGGACGCCCGGGATAAAAGGCACATGGTGCTGGAAGTAATTGGCACATTTGACCTGGAGGACACGAGATTGTATCACAAGGATTTGGAGCACACTGACAGATACGACAACCACCATCAATAGTGAAACCGTGTGAACATTGAAGAGTACAATTTGATAGATCTTCACATGGTTGAACACAGTAGCTAACAGGTGAATCTTGCAAATTGAAATGATTCATTTGAGGAGCTTTGCAGCATTTTTGTTCTCCAGGACACAATGAATCTGCACCAACACATGCCTGTAAACCATTACCCATCACGGGCCAATAATCTGGACATTTTTTTGGTTTTGAATTGGGATCAATAGGAATAGATGGATCAATAATACATTTTGTTGTTACGCCACATCTTCCTTTAATAGCGCACGGTTGATATTCTTGTAAAGTACATTTCGTTCCCAGAGGACATGTAGTTGTAAGACATGGATGAGCTGCACATTTGCAGACGGTACATGGTGATTGATCCACTTTTAAACCGAATGGACAATCAAGTGTACATGGTGCCGAAAATTCAGGGCATGGACTAAAACATTTCATACCATCTGTCAATGGACAACATGTATAATTCCATGGACAAACACTATCATCGCCTTCAGTTGAACATGATAAACCACTGGATACGTATTGTGGATGAGGACATCGACCTGTTTGCGCAGAAGCGCTTATTTCTGCTGTTAACGATATAATAGCAAAAAGTATTTGAAGTAGCATTTTTATTTAAACTGATTTCACTTTAGCCAAATGTAAGAGACGCAAACTATTCGCAAAAACAACAAATGTTTTTAAAGGCAGAAAAAACACAGGTGACAAGAATTAACATCGTTTTCAACAGAAGTATCAGGAGAAGAGAAAACCAGAATATTTACGTTTCTCTACCTGATATGATATTTCAAAATTACATCGTTTTCATTTATTGACAAAAATAATCTATTAGACTCATTCCACATGTATCTGATCATTATTTTTCATTCTTATCGGATCACTCTTTTATAGGAGGATGCAAATGCGAATGTGAGTGTTGAGAAAAGTTACACCCAAACCCAAAAATTATACATGATTAATAATGCTTTTTGCATAACTGATCGTTCAATAAAGAGTTCATACGTGGTAAATTTATCAATTGATGCAGAAATACTACAAGACGTCCATGACAATCATAGACCTCATTAAAATTTTATAGCCAATAGCGTCTTATTTAGAGTACACACTACCTAAAACTGATGCCAATTCATTTCTTATTATTGTTTATGGAATTTCAATAAATAATAAACATAGCTAAGATCTCTGCTTACGAGCTCACTCTTATCGTGTAATTGAAGAGTTGACTAACAAACTGTTAAGAAATTACTTTACATATACGTAATTTATCTTTTTTAATAGAATACGATAATTTCGAAAGTATTCATTATCGTAATCGAAAATACCGATTCATGTTGATACAGTCTGATTAAATAAGAGAAAGAATATTTTCTTCGTTAGTATTCTTTCAAAAAGCAACTTTTTTCGGAAGATCACCTGAAAAAATTTTTTTGCCCAGAAAAAAGGAGTTGACAAATTCATAACTTTATATTCATCGGATAATTTTTTTTGCGTTTGTACGCATCATTATCTCTGATATCACTTTTTGTGTTCCGCGATCAAATATCAAGAGCAACAAAAAAAAAAGAAAAGAGCAAATAGACATCAAACACAGATACACACCACACTTGTTATGACTAGGTTTGTATTATATATGGTAAGATGAAAATATTAATCAAGTGTAAACGAATGCCTGTACATTTTTGTTTTTATTTGTCATCGATATATTGTCGTCGTCCTTTAATAACATAGGAGAACTCGTTTCCATTTGTCTTGGTATTGTGAGAAAAGAAAACAGTGCAAAAGAGACGATAATAAACTATTTTGACTTATGATACATTGACATATTTTAATATATTGACCATCTTGTTAACAGCAATTCAATAGGAATGCTTTCGTGGGATCTTACTGTCTACATTGTTTCCATTTATGGAAGTAAGCATTTATCATACGAGCGAAACTACTTTTTGTTATAATTACTTCTTAAAACATCTCAGAGATAATGTTCAATATAATAATCTTCGACTTTTTATTCATATTTTGTAGTTATTCACTGCGTTCAATCGCAGGTTGAAGACAAAAACTCAACAAAACCTCGTCTATCAACAACAATAAATGAAGTTAAAGAGCAGTCTATTGAACGAGTTTCATCAACTATACCAAGTTATATAATTACCGATTCTATCGGCAATAGAAGTCAGCAAAATATGAATCAAATTTATTTGAATGAATCATTAAAACAACGTATTATCATAGCTCTTGCTGTTCTATGTGCAGCTCTTGTTGTTTTACTTGGTTTTCTTTTTTTCATTATTGTTTGTCAAAGAATACAACGAGATAAAGACGAAGACGACTTACCAAATGGACCCAATCAATCGCGAATAAATCTAGCTGGTTCCTCAAATAATTATCAAAATCATTCCTATCGGCAAACCATGAAACTTTAGAGAAAATGCTGAACGTATAGACGATAAAAAAAACTATTTAAAAGCATCATGTTTAATAATTATGTCTCGTATATCTTTATTTTTAATCACTTTAGCTAAATAATCTTCTATTCATTTGATATTAACTCAATGTAATTATTTTAGCTTCTCTGTACTATGTCGTTCTTAAAGTCACAAAAACAAAAAATGATTGAGTTAGAATGACTTAATAAGATAAATCCTTTAATAAGTAAAGTATGAAAATTACTTTTGTTAAGGAAAGATTTGAAATTCGATATTTTCTATGTGTGAAAAAATTCTAAATTATTTTGAGTATGAGCGAGAACGTAGGTGATGGAAAAAAAAACTTCATATTGATTATTTTCGCGGCAGGAATAATTTTCTCTACCTCATTGTTTACTTGTTGCATGAGTCTTTTTAGATCGAAAGTAACTTTGAACAACATAATAAAAACACAGGTAAACAGGCAACGAAGAAATACGAATATAACATGTTTAATTTCTATGTATTCATCTTATAGACAATTGAAGATTGTGCCGTCAAATAAAATCATTTTTTCTATCGATAGATTCTCAATAGATATCTATGATACAAGAATAAAAATTTCTTTACATATACTATCTCTATTGATTTTACATAAACTAGTGGAACTCCTCATCAATTATTGAAAAATACTAGAAATTTTCAAAATAAAAATGATTCAAAGTCCTAAATTATAAGTTTTGTAAAGAAAAACTTTTCAAACATCATTGATTATTTTCTACAATTTATTCATCAGAACATTGCTGTTGTTTTCTGCATCACTAATAAGATAATTATATATCTTAATCAGTTCGAATAAAGTTGACAAAAAAAAGCATAGCCCTTCTATAAAATCTTTCAAATCTATCAATTTTATTGTGTTCGTACTGTTCAAAGAAAAAGAAACAATGTCTGCAATAATTTTTTAAATGTTTATTTTTCATCAGCAGTATGAATTTCCATTTGAATAAATGTTCCATAATCGACAATGTAAGAATTTGCTGTTTCGAATTTCAGAGAACATTGATTATATTTATCTGAATGAATTGTAAAGATTGCATTCTCATTATTGTGTATTAATCTTTCTTCTAATGTTTTATTATTTACAATATGATAAACATTTTTTATTAATTTGTTTCTTGTTAACAATATTTTGGATAGACGTAATAAAAATGATCGATTCTTATGTGAATGTAGTGTTATAGTCATATTACCGTATGGAAAGTGCCAAAAAAATGTCATTTCTCTATTTGTACATTGATCAATAGATGAATTAATTGATACATACTGGCAATTCAATGATCGTGAAGAAACAATAAATGAACAAGGATAATAAGTCCATACGTTGGCATATGATTCACATTCTGATGCCCATGAAACTTTAATAAAACAGAAAAGAGTAAGTGAAAGTATCGATACTATGGAAAGCATTGCATCATTTCAAATCTGTTACGATACACTTTTTCATAATGAAAGTGATTAAATGAATGTGTACGGTTAGACGAGCCGTGTACGAGCACAGGTGAGCCGATTGTAAACATTCGAACACACGTACAGGAAATGTGTTATCACGCATTTAATCAACAGACACTGAACAATTATCGCCGACGAGAAGATAGACATCAGTTATTTATTGATCACTCCCACTCATCAGCCATTGTTTGTTTTTCAGCCAAATAAAATTAGTAGACAAACCTATACAAAAAAAGATTAGTTTACAATATATAAACTTATTTGATAATATGAAGTCGTCTATAATGATTGAGTAAAGCCGAGAGTGATTTGTTTACTAAAATAAAATAAGAATTTATCTATTCAATATCGACAATGGGACAATAGTTGCATCAAAAACATTCATATCTGCAGTTCTACAGTAATGGATATGTTTAGATCAGTTTAACATCGATGAGTACAATCGAAATCAATTACATCTAAATATTGTTTGAATTCCTAGTAGAAATTGTGTAAAATATGAAATGATTAAAAACAATAAAGAATATCTGAAGATAACAGTTTATTAAGGAATAGTTATACTCGATTGATCTGCTATTAGTTATATAATAAAAGAGAGAAATGCGAAAGAAAGATCAGATTATATACAAGAAAGTCTGTGTGTCATTTCGATAGAAAAATATGATTATGACACCTCATTTTTCTTGATAAGTCATTATAAAAACTTGGATCATTAAATACAAAATAAGTCATGAAATGAATGAAAACATACCTGAAGACAAAATCGAAAAGATATTTATCGAGAAACTTGTTTCGTCGATGACATGTATTTATATACTCTTTCTATTCTAAATAGTAAATCACTTAATCATTCTTAAATTCTACCACACGAGACTAAGGCTATCATTTCAATATGCTTAAAATTAGAAGACATTTTACTGTTTGATTGACGGAGAAAAGATTATGATGTTATATGTTAGATTCATTTTTAAACTCGTTTTCAATTTGATTCCTATTGTTTCGTTAAGTCAACAGCACATATACAATTATCAGTAGGATTTAAGCTAATTCATATTTTACATTAGCGTAACTAAATATGAAGTTGAGCTAGGGTGTCCATTGAGAAGCTCTTTCACTTTGATTGAACAAGACGTTTGAGTCTCTTATAGAAGTATTATCAATGCATTTCTATCATTTCCGTAATAATAGTGAAAAAGGGTTGAATCCGACGTAAAAAGGTTATTTCTAGTCACTTCAGTGTGTTTCAAGCGTCAATTTTAGAGTGCAAACTTGAGAAACATTAATTATAATATTAGTTTTTTAACATAAGTAAACATAAAACTATATTTGGAATAAGACTGGAGCTATAACAATGTGAACCCTGCGTGTCGCTTGTTCTTGGCTCTCGATAGAATTTAATTTAATTTAATTTTCTCTAAAATGCTGAGTAATTTTAGTAATAAAACGATTTAAAACAATTATTTTATTATCAATTATTTTATTATAACTAAAATCTAGTATTGGTTTTTGATTGGTTACGAGTGTTACTTGCTTAAAAACAATCCATGAAGATATTGTTGTTCTCACCAAAGTGAATCCACGATTTACTTTTGCTGCGTAGCAAGTGTTTCTGTTTCAAAATCGACACTGATTTTTTTAATCAATATTTCAAAGGTATTGATTGAATAGAAGTCTAGAGCAATTCCATACTACTACCATATACTCATACATTATCATCGATTTTTTCATCTATGAAAAGTAAATGGACTTAGATTGATAGGATGAAATAATTCTCTTGCATCCTCCATACGAGACAATGATTTTACTAAAGTTTAAAACAAGAAAATTTATTCCATTATATAGTTTTCAATGTTTTATTTTACGTAAAAAAATGCTAATCATCATTTGAGTCTATTCAAATCTGTTCAAATCATATGTATGCTCGTACGTAGAATAAAAGCTATATCTGCATGATATCGAGTCTAATAAAGTTTATATTTGTTTAAGTTAAGTATATCAAACATAAGTATCACAATGAAATATTCAAATCAAGCTCATCACTTTGATAAGATTGAAATCAAAAGACAAAGGTACCTTTATGAATATTGCATGCATTTTATGTTTGTTAGTCACAATGCTGCAAATTCGATGCACATCTCAGAGCACATATCAGATGAGAATAAAAATTATCGAATATTTGATGAGTTATCTCATAGAAATTTACATGACTTTATCTTGTTAAGAAGACATTATTTTCAGTACATCAATGTATATTAATCAAATAGATTGATAAATTTACGCTTTTTTTTTAAATTAGCCATTGGATTATACGTGATTTGTGGTTGAACGGATAAAGTAAATGGAAACCTTTTTTTTCAAACGAAAATCATTGCAATAGTCATTCTACTAAATAATCTGATCAGTTAATGTTGACAAAAGAGGTATGATTGTACCCCGATAACAAACAAGTCATCATGAAATTATTGCACAGAAATTACTCGTTAATATTATGCAGCTAAACATTACCAACCAAGTATATATTGAACAACAACAAGTACTATTCAACTATCGTTTGGGTCTTCAAAAAAATCAAATATATCCTCAGTACTCACAATTAGAATATCATAATTAATAATGAAAAATATTGAAATCTAAAAAACAAAGTGGTCTTCAAATGAACTCTTGTAATAATTTTACATATCCTGAATTTATTTAATTCTTATATTCCCATCATTTTTTTTTGCAATATTGAAGACCTATTTGTGATTATCTATCGATCAGAAATTTATCATTATAATATGAAAAAGTTGAATCCATCAAAATGACTACATTGAAACATTCTTTTCTTTTTATCTACAATAAAATACAGACTTGTTGAATAAACAGACTCTATGTATCGCTGATTAATCATCGTTCGACAATATATAACCGTATTTATATGCGGACCTTTATTTACCTATGAACGGTAACTTCATTTGTTTTTTCTCCCTCCACATAAATATATAGACTATACCAACCGAGAACGATTTTTTTTCTACTCTACATTTGACCTGTGAAATAGAAAAAAACTAAATATATAGTTTGTTCAATGATTTCTTTCATTTTGAATGTATTATAAAGTTTCTTGTCATGTTCATTATGAAAGGTTCATTGGCGCAGTGATTATCTGTACTATCTTGATCTTGTCTCCGTTTTCTTCCAAGTCTTTTTGCTCTCCCGTACATTACATACCATTGTAAACATCGTTCATAATAAAGTGGCCCCTCTCTTTCTCGCTTTCCTCTATGTCTTATTGCAAATGATGGTGTTACAATAGAAAAGAACTGAGCGAGAGGCGAGTCAAATATTAGTCGACGAAGAGAGAGAGAGAGAGAGAGAATGATTTTATGCTTTGTTCGCATTAAGAATCTTTCGGAAACTACGCAGCAAAAGACACGTATGGACTTCTTTAAAATCATATTTGATTAAATCGTTGATAATAGTAGCCTGGCGAGTTAAAAGTTCTGTGAATTTGCAAAATCTACAGATTATTGATTGAGCAAATATGAATTGAAATAAAACACTGAGGATTTGATACCCAAATAGAAATCTCAAATAGAAGTGCAAATTTTGAAATTCCTGTATGCAGTTGCGGCTAATGATAAATCTAGATTTCTCTCTGTATCATTTGAAATATTTCTCAGATTCCTTATTTTATACTCAACCTTTGCAATTTATTAATCCACTGCGATGTATGAAGGCAATCGTAAAATACTCAATACTATCTAGAATAAAATAACCTTAAAAATAGTAGAATTTAATTAGAATTATAGCCACACAATATTAGAATTCTTTCATATCATCTACGTCTTTCTCTCCCGACAAAATATATGCCTTGCAGGTATCTTTCTACTTTTTTCCTTACTACGCACCTATCACCATTCTCTGCGATAATATATCGAATAAATATATGTTCATCTTCGTGCACGTTGTGTGATTATCCGATGTCTGGTTGCACTGACATTAAATAGTATCATTTTCATTCTATTTATTAACTTGTACATATAATTTTCGACATATTTTTCCTGAATCAACAATACCTTGAAGGTAAATTTCGAAATATCGACTATATATACATGCATATAGATGTATATTTTATAGACGCCTGTCAACGTATAAAAAGAGAATTTCTTTCTTTATATGAATTTCACTTCTTCTTTTGTTTAAACTGGTGTTGCTAGTGGAATGGTATGTAATGTAAAAAAAAAGCCGAGAGTGTTGCTGTTTGTTGGTCGGATGAAAAAGTGTCGATAGAGAAAGAGAGAAACGAACAAAAAAAACTTTCAATATCCATATATTTCTTGCTCCTGCATCGCTTTCTTGCTGATAGTATTGACAGTTGCAGAATAGAGAGTAACTGAATTGAAATTGTTTGCTATAGCGACTGACTACAGATGCAAGCAGAAGAAGAAAAGAGAGTTTCGTTTTACTATTTTCTTTTTTACAATCCAACATGTGTGATGCATATACAAACAGCAAGCGTATTATTACTATCGAGAAGGATGCTATGCATACATACAATTAATTAGAGAACGAAAAAAGGTGAGTCGCGCAATCAGTAACAAATATGGACATAGGTGGAGAGAAGAATACATCTCGTTGTATGTCTTCTTCTTCCTCTTCTTTGGCACTAGATTAATGAACAATGTCGTTCGATATTTACGCTTTGCGCCCACGACAATGTCGTATATCTCAGTATATAAGGAAGAAAAAACTAGAGAAAGAGAGAGAGAGTGAATGATCTATTTGACAAAAAAAACCGAAGGCAGACTGAAGCACTATAATGTTGACATGCAGTTGACCTATAATCATCATAAAAAACGAGCGAGAAATGGAGTATCGTCCATCATTATCAGTGATTAGAGATCTCCTTTGGCTTTCTTTTTTTTCTTCTTTTACATGGCAAAACTAGGGAGAAAGCGAGAGAAGTAGTAACATGG